CTGATACCTGGTATTTATAAACTAGAATGCGGTTTTTAAACATGAAAATACCAAATGTTATCAGAAAATTAACAAGAAAGACATCAGTCAAATGCAGCTCAATTCAAGGTATTTCTGAAGGAGCTTAAGACGAATGATGAATGATAGATGTCTGCCCTGATAGATTTGGTTTCAGTTTTTAAATAAAGGAAAAAAAGGTTGGACTAGCTTACAACTTATCATCGACATGTTGTGGTCGAGGCATTCTGTATCCCTGTTGAAGTGAGTCGGCGATTTTCCTGCCATCCATTCGCAAAATTTAATGCGTAGCGATATTATAGGACGTAATCAATGCCTGTAATTACACATCACTTTTGGTGGTAACGTGTTATACAACAACGCCTAAAAAGTTGTTCACTGGAATACGGCCCTAGGGAGTAAACAGTCACTCAATGATAGAATATGCTATGAATAACAAAAAAATATTTGCAAAACCAAAAGTAGGCAGTCTGAGACCATATGTGGCTACTGGTATAGCACAAATTTTTTGCATAGAACAAAAATACAAGGTCATTTAGTATTAACAACTGAGTTGATAACGTAAATTGGCCACCGTAACGAGTTTAAAAGCTGACGTTTCGAGCGTTAGCCCTTCGTCAGAGCGATTGGAGGAATTGTGGGTTGTGTGTGGGTTTGTATGCAGAAAATGGAACTGCGCTATTGATAGAAATATGGTGACGAGAAAACAAAAATAAATTAGTTGAATGAAAAGTGTTCGTTGATACCATGGAGATTAAGAGTTCCCATTTAAAAGATACATTTTTGTTCTTTAGTTTTGCGGCTTTCCGAACTGCCTAGACGTAGTATAAGGCGGCAGGCTGCCATATGCTGCCTAGAATGACGGATTAAAGTGTCTAAGGACTGGTTTAGATGCGTCCTAGTCATTTCTCTCTACATCGCGAAGGTGTTCTCTGAATCGGTAGCCCAGTCGTCTTCCTGTTTCACCAATGTATAACTTTTTACAATAAGTGCAAGCTATGCAGTAAATGACATTGGCGGAGGTCCACTTAAAGGGTACCTGCGGGGTATTAATGAAGCAATTTTGAATTATTGGCCTGTATTTTCTGTTTCGATATTTGATAATCTTTTTTGTTGGCAGTTCGTTTCAACCTAGATATTTTTCTTGAAGTGAGAGCGAAAAACGCGTCAGAATTCCGCCATCTTGGATTTTTAATGGGCCACACTAAGTTAGTGGTCCGCTGTTACGTCAGATCGTCAATACCTTTTTCGCGGGACCTTCTAAAAGTACCTTACACTTCGTTCTAACACGTTTTTGTTGATTGTAAGGCTAGTTTTTTTTTTAGTTCGACGAAATGGTGCACTGCTAGCAATTAATCGCCAGAGAGAGCAAATGTGAGCTTCCATAGGATTTCATCGGACATACAGCGGGGGAAAGCATGGCTGGAGAGAATTCATCACATGAATTCCGCCAGCTTGGATTTTTAATGAGCCGCACTAAGTTAGTCAGCAGTCCGCTGTTACGTCAGATCGTCAATACCTTTTTCGCGGGACCTTCTAAAAGTAATTAACACTTCGTTCTAACACGTTTTTTTAGATTGTAAGGCTAGTCTTTTTTTTTAAGTTCGACGAAATGGTGCACTGCTAGCAATTAATCGCTAGAGAAAGCAAATGTGAGCTTCCATAGGATTTCATTGGACAAACAGCGGAGGAAAGCATTGCTGGAGAGAATTCGTCACATGAATATGCCGCCGTTACAAGACAGCTATATTTGTAGTGATTACTTCTCGGCAAAGCTGTTTTCAGTCGAATTTTCAATTGAACATCTTAAGGCAAAGATGTAAACGGCGGCCAAAGGAGGATGCTGTGCCCTCTATATTTGACTATGCTTTACAATCTATTACAAAGAGACCTCGATTGTCGAGCGAAAATCGCCGCGATCGACGAATGAATCAAGAAGATAGTTTTATTTTTTGTTTTGATAATTGCCTTTTACTAGAGGATTTCTTTATCCCGATTTGTTACAATTTCTGACTCTCTGTGAATAAGAAACGATCGTAATCTGATTCATTAATTACATAAAGGGGCTTTGACCGATGAGTGAGCATTTCCCTACACCGAATTACAAATATAGGTAGAATTATCTTGCTGCATGTATCTTCATAGGTAATTGTAAATCCTCAACGCTAAAAATTCCCCATTTTTGACTATAAAACGGGCTTACTTTTTGTCCTTTCTGGATGAGTGGCTAGATATATGAACGTACATAAGTATTCTTCTGAAATAATTAAAGTTTCCATAACAAACTCAGTATACTGTCATTGTTTCGTATCCGGATGTACCGGAATCACTGGCTGCTAGAAACGATCAGAACGTTTGCACAGAAGGAGTATTAAGTAATGAGGAAGTTGTTGTTTCTGACAATTCAGAATCCTTCTCTTTGAGTCCAAAGATGTGAGATGTTGGAATTCAGTGCTCTCATCAACCTCTTACCCTCAAAAGTACGGCAATTCAAACAGAGTTTGAAGATGCAACCATGTCTACTAGAGTTAGCACTAAGTCTCCCCCTCCGACCCAGGCAAATGCAACCACCAGGCAAATGCAACCAAAAAGGTTTTCCTACCGACAGATGAAAGTACCAAAAAAATTAAATCATTAATGCTGAAAAATTGAAAGTTAACCAATATACTCCAGCACCACCGAGCCAGCGGTCTGTAGACAATATGTCGAAATAATCTATGTTCAGGGCCATCGTATGGATCTTTGTACAGTTGTTTGTACTGATACCAGGCAATTTGTAACACCCACCTGTTTATGCAAACTGGATGAAAACCTGGATTCTGCGTAATGCATTTAGGTTCCTCTTGACATTCACCACTGATAACTGCCTCAATAATTTTATTTTTTCCCTGCCGTTATTTCTTGACGGCAAATACATGCCTCGGCTCTTTCCATAAACTGGCAGTTCTCGGATGAACACTAAGATTTTAGAAAATGCTCCGCGGTTAAAAAAGAAATAAACGGACGCTATATCAAGAAATAAAATTAGTATAAGCCTTTTGGATTATAGAAGATTATATTGGTATTTACAGTGTATGCATCGACTTTCACAAAGGAGTTGGATTCGCTACCATCTAATTCAATAATTCTAATTCAATCCTTTCTCCACCATACTTGCCGACGTATCTTCACAGTTTTCTACGTCACAGCTATATAACATGACCATGATCACTTTTGTATATCGCTCCAAGTCGTACGTTTTAATCAGTTTCTGCTAAAGGAAAGCCAGTTTGGGGGAGGGGGGGTGGGTGGGGGGAGGACTACGTTAACAAAGTGAGCTTTGTTTATCATCATTATTTGCTTTTAGGGACCAAGGGTTAAAGAAACAGGGAGAACGTTGGATTCTTCAGAGAAAGAGGAAATGTGCGTTTAATTTTATATATTTTTCTCTGCGTAAATACTCTTTACGATACTCTAGCGAAAACCGGTTTACCACGGCCTGAACTATGGAAGAAATATCTTGCAGAAGAGGTCATTATAGCAGGTAATAGTCTTGGATCAACGAAATTTGTCAAAGATTATAACTGAAGAATTTGGGAGTCAAGACGAAAATTGAAAAGATTCCTGGGTAACAAGCTTGTAGCAATGCCTTGTGCTTGTAGTAATCTTCATCATTCATCCTCTGGAAATTTGATAACCGAGTTCTTCTTTAAAGCCACCATCCAAAACAACCAAGTTATTTGAATAATTTGATGCTATTACAAGCGTTTGTTGTTTATTGTTTTAACAAATATACACCTGTAGGCCGACTTACAGTTGTTCTTATGATCTTACTTTCATAACACTTTTGAATATATTTTGAAGTCCTGAATGTCATTGCAGTCTGAACCAATGCCTCACAAAGAAAATCACTCGACATATTTGCATATCAAATCAGCCCTATTGTTATTTCGATTGCGTGACTATACACGAAATTACCGGAAAGCATTTCTAATATATAGCTGGAATTAAGCAAACTGATACTTATTTATACTGTCGATCAACAATGAGGTTCTGAAAGGAACCAAGAAATATTTAAAATACCTGCATGGTAATAGGAAAATATGAGTGAGAAAAATTACGATAATTAGAAAAATCTGAATATTCATTATGAAAATAATATTGAAAAGTAATGGTAACAGGATAAAGTGGAGTCCAATTCGGTCTGTAATCATACGAGTGAAAACAAAATCGGACGACTGCGTACCGGGAGTCCGATTTGTTTATCACGAGTCCTATTACCAATCAATCAAAAAAATTACAAATTCCGAGAAAAGAAGAAAAGCCGAGTTATGAAAGAAAGGGAAAATTTGCATCAAAAGACTGACAAAGGAGGTGTAAATTGTTGAATGGTTGATTTGAACTGCAACTTTAAATGTGATTGGCTTATTGGACCGCCGATAATTTCTATGATTATAACTATCGTAAAAATACTAATGTTAATAACGATGAAAACAATGAAAATAATAATAGTCATAATGATATTGATGATTATGATAATAAAGATAACCTCCTCCAAAGGAAGGATCTCTCCTTATAAAACCCTCTACATGCCTTGCTGTCCTTTTTTTTTGAACCAATTCTAGAAACTTGGTCGCTCAAACGCACATTTCTGATAAAATTACGAATACCAATACATGCTTAAGCGTGCAATATAAATTTACATACCCAGTCAACGGTTTGAAAGGATCCTTGACAGAACAAAACTACCTGTCAGTTTTGAAAAAAATTTTCTCATTTTTTATTTTTGTTTAATATGTTTTGTTTTAGTCATGCAAAGCCCGGTTTATACTAAAACTGATTAGAAGGCAAACACAGTTAATGAAATTAACTGTTACTACGGTGTGAGTACTTCATTAAAATTAGCTTTGAAATTAATCGCCTCGTGATCTTATATCTTTTAGAGCGTTAGCCGATGAGAGGAGAATAAACTCGTTTCTCAAATGCTGAAAACTTGTCGTCGCCTACTCTACCAAATCCTCAACGTTTGCGTACAACTGCTTGTCGTAGATTTTCATATTGATCAGCCTCTGTGGACGAAAGAAAGGTATAAGAGGATTTCTCTAATGTCCATCAAGAATTATTTATTTCTGCATGACCTCATCTAAAATGCTCAACCCCATGGCAGCTAAGGAAACGAAGTCTTCAGTTGTACTTAGTTGGCTGATCAAGCAACTTAATGGAGAGTACAGGTACATAGTTGCCGCGTTTATCATGAACACTTCGATGTTATTAAGAATTTTATTAGTAAATCACTCCACGTATTTTATAATGATCCCTCGTAATATAACTGGATGTAAAATTTACCTTGTGCAATGTTTCCATGGCTTTGAGCTGGTTTCTTAGATCAAAGAAGGTTGGTCTTGTACCCGGGTCATCTTGCCAACATCTCAACATTATGTCGTACCTATGTTTCATATAACACAGGTTGGTACTTGATATACATAAAGTACATTAAATCAAATTGAAACGAAACACGTGAGTTGTTTTCACGATGAATTCATTGTTATCGTACAAAAATGTTTAACTTGTCATTTTCTCGAATGTGGATATGCTAATCGATATGCTGATATCTTTCAAATTTTAAAGAATGAACATTTCCATAAAGTAAGCGATTAATTTAATTACTGAAGAAGAAAAAGATGCTTTGGATTGAAGCTTTTTAATTACTTACTAAATATACCTAAGTAGAATCAAAGGCGCAGTAACATATTTTCAGGCCTCATTAGAGTATCAGTCTTAAAGAAACTTTAGCACATACAACTTATCATCCACATGTGGTGGCTGAGGCATTCTGTATCCCTGCTGAAGTAAGTTGGCAATCTTCCTGCCATCTATCCGCGGATACGGTGAACCACCTGATATAAAATAACTTGGGAGACTATTGCAACACGAGCATAACTCTATGCTTAAATTTTTATGCGGCGTATTGAAGAAATGATCAAAATTAATATATGACGTGGGACGCGTCCTCTTAGACGGAGAACACCTTTTAAAGGGTATCCGGTCGTTCCATACCCAGACGTTTCGTACCCAAGTTTGAGTCAGTTCGTACCAAGCCAATGATCGATTCTTACCTGATTTTTACCCTTCCCAATTATTCGAAACACCTCCCGCGCGAATGCATTTAACAGATATCAGTTGCTGCTTAGGACAAGGTAGTAGAGTCAAGCTTTACGGCTATGAAAATAGAAAATGGCGAAAAGTTCGTACCAAGCCAATGATCGATTCTTACCTGATTTTTACCCTTCCCACTTATTCGAAACACCTCCCGCGCGAATGCATTTAACAGATATCAGTTGCTGCATAGGACAAGGTAGTAGAGTCAAGCTTTACGGCTATGAAAATAGAAAATGGCGAAAAATTCAATTCACAGGACTTACGCATCACTTTTGGTCGTATATTTTCCATACAACAGCGCCTCATAAGCTGTCCACTTTACTGGAAGGCGGCCCTTAAAATTTTGAATGGAAAAAAAGTTTAAGTTAAGAACTTTGAGACCGAGGAAGATAAACGACCATGTGAGACGCTCTTTTATGATATTCAGGATCGCCAGTGCATAAACCGTGCCTCTTTTCTCAATGAAGCAAATATTCTCTCCAAGGGGCAATCTCTTTCCAAGAAACTACACTTTTCTACTCTGTTGCCTAGGTAACTTCAAAATTCACAAATGCTCAGCATTGAGCAAAATCTACAGAATCCAAAACTTCTACCTAGAATTAAGCTGGGACAGCACTCTTATATACCCAGCCTTTGGAAACTCAGCTAAATATGTTCCGCAAAACAGTATCAAGATCAGCATAGCATCAGTAATCTTCTCTACGGTTCCTTGACTTAAAATGTCAAATTCTCAGAGAGTTGCCTTTTAATAGCACTGACGCTTGCGCCAAGACTCCCAGAGATATCCAGAATCGTGCCATTCTAAATGCTCAAGCTGACCTTTCCTTACTTCCAACCTAGGACGACCATTCCATCCTGTTAAACTTACAGCAAACGATTCTTTCCGCTGATCTCGCCCTGCGTCTGCCAGAATTGACATCATTTCACAAAGTGAGTTCATCGATTATATGTATAGGCATACTGGCTGCTTTCCTTGAAAAATGACGGGCGCTTTTCGCCGTCTTTGCAACACGTGATCAGCCACATCATAACTTAAATTTTGCCTTAATTTTCTACATTCTCCACGAACTAAGCCTATTCTCATCTTTCACTCCCTATCTTATCTGGCCGACGGACAATGCGCTAGAGGTTCATTATGAACTGGATGCGGTGGCCTTTACACCTGGTTGAATTTTGGGACGAAAATGTGATCGGTGAAGAATTCGCAGAAAACTGAGGGGTTTTTGTTCAAATGGAAATGTGATCGGTCAATCGACTCCCAGATATTTCAATAGCAAGAAAAGCAAGAGCTAAAGCGATCGGTTAAATTAAAGAATTGGTTCATGCTTTGTGCGAAGTTTGGAGAGCACGAGAGAAGCGTAAGAGTCTCTGGAGGCGTAGACGAGAGCAACTCTGGCATGCAGACACAAATTGTGCACGAAAAAAGAGTTTATTACAGCTGTGTCGGGTTTACCAGGTAATCGAGTTCTAACCAACAGCTGTGAATAACTGACAAGGCCAAAACGAACAAGAAATATTTCGAGATAGAGTCTTTATTCAAAGAATCGTAAAATATTCTGCTCAGAATCGAAAAATGAAGGAGTTTCCTACAGGTACGAGAACGCGTAGTACATTCAGCATGCTTGAATTGTTGTTTAATTAACTTTACGACCAAGAAAATTGCTCGTCTTTTTGTTGAAGATTCTGAAAGTTGTATGATTTTGAAAAACTGTGACAAAATCCTCTTTTGAACATCTCCCCATTTTTTTGGGACATTTAACGTAACAGTAACAAAACTAAGGTATTTAAATTGATAGCTCATCAAATAACGTGCATATTGTACCTAACAATCGATTTATATTGCTCGTGCGCGCTTGAAATAGATGTGAGCTACGCAGAAAGAAGAAATAAAGCCTCATGTGAGGGACTCACGAAGTGTAATCTACTTTATTAATTAAAGATGGCAGTAACCAGTTTCCTTACATCAAAAAGCCAAAAAGGCCACATTGGACAGTACTGGTATTTGAATGATCATTTATTTGAATGATTATTCATTCCACCATCGCTATACATCATGCATCGGTAGCTCGGTGGCTAATCTGAAGGACAGAGTGAATACGATGTACTCGAATCGTCGGAAGACACATAATCACCGATAAACTTTAAAGGTCATTAATAAGTAATACTTCACATTACCACACGGAGAAAAGTACCTTATGTTGGTAGCGAAGTCACTAATTTGATAGAGCGATCTAAATTTCGAGTGGAGCGATCGAACCATGGTGCAATCAAACCGGATACCGTCTCCAACGTCGCAAGGGCTCAGTTGAAGTCAACAAACTCAGCTTCTTTTTCAGCTGTAATAAGCATCGCGTTTGGGAAAAAAGTATCGTTAACTCCAGAGCTAATTTTGTAGCTTGAAAGAGCTACATGGTCATTGTTTTTCGATAAGGGTATTGCTTAGCATATCTACTTTTAATTTTGAGCTCCAAAAGGTCTACCTTAATCGGGATGGAATACTTAGTTTGGATATGACGTGTGCTGTCATTGGTTGAAAGAACGTGTCAAAGCGACCGCGATCATGCTGAGATCCAACGCGGCTAGCTCATTATGGCGATCTCCGGTCATCGCTTTGAAGCAAGCCTCAGAAATTACATCGGCCGCCCTTGGAGTGAACAGCTAAGAACTTGCTCTGATATCATATCCGATGTGTTGAGTAGAAGGCCACATCAGTCACTGCAGCGGAGTTTTAAGGCGCTGTCATCCCGAGCAATTTTTATGTTCCGATGATTTCGGCTGTCGTTCATTCATAAAACACACGCTTTGAGCAATATGTTTCCTCGTTGTAATGTGAAAAAACTCGCTTTTTTATGAGTCACAGTTTGGCCGGCTTTCAGTGGACATTTCACTTTCAGGTTAGAGACTAAAAAACTTCCGGCAAAAAGTGTTAGTTTCGACCTGCCAAACTATTTAAGCTTGTGAATTATTGTAGAATATGACCTCTGATGGTTTTTTAACTTTGATGGTTTGGCATTTTTGAAAACTTTAGTCTTGTAAAGCCAATAAGATTATTTGAACTATTCTAACCGTAAGGAGAAGTGAATGAAAGTGATCCAACAGAATAGAGCACAGTTATGACAAATACATGTCATTTGATGAACTAAAGCTTATTTCTTTCTTATTACCTTTGTCTTTCTCTCGTAGATATTTTCCTCTTGCACATTTCTAGCCATTCCGAAATCTGTTACTTTACAAGTTTCACTTTCTCCGACCAACACGTTACGAGCTGCGAGGTCTCGGTGGATGATCTAACGGATGAAGAGAAAAAAAGGCCGTCTGAGATTACGTGTGGCTACTGATAAAGCAGAATTTTTATGGCATTGAACAATAACAGAGGTAATATCATATGATATTTTCAGACAAAATCCCCTGAGGAGTGATTGTGACGATAGGTTTTCGCGCACTAAATTTGACTTCGCGGGAAACGCACAAAACGGGGGGAATGAACTCGGTAGAGACCACTCGGCTGACGAGAACGGAAACTCGTCACGATTTCCTGGTACACGGAGATCTACTTTGAGTGAGCTTGTACGGACGTCAAGGAAGAGACAGCGTTTTGGTTCCACAGTAGAGTTTTATTCGTAGAGCGCTCTAACATACATCATGCTAGAGTCAAAACTAAATCTGTAATCGGCACACCGTCGTCTGTGTAATCGGTACGCCGTCGTGGATGTAATCAGTACGCCGTCGTGTGTGTAATCGAAAAAGCTTTTCAAAGTACTTGCTTAAATATGAACTGGTGTGAGGTTCTACTGTTACACAAATCACAGTATTTGAATAAGAACACAGAGAAGCGGAAAAAAGTCTTTGAAATTAAACGAAATTAAATTAAACGAAAGCTACTTAAATATTCCATCTATTTCTACGACGGAAAGAATCTCAAAATTAAAAAGACGGATGCAATAAACTCGAGGCCATTAAAATAGGAAACTTAGGTGCGAATTCACAGCTCTGGTATAGAAAATATACCTATCTTAGTTACAGCAGAGCAGCTTAAAAAATAAAAATGGAAAAGCAAACCAAAGTTTCTCCTTATCTATGCGAGGTTGGTGTGGAAACTATCGTATGAAAAGAAATTAAAGTTACGAGTATAAACTCAGCCGCTATCTACCATGAAAACCAATTTTTCCAGAAAGACCATAAACACTTATACTAGCTTAAAAAAAACCCTGTAATAAATAACAAAAGCAAAACACAAGCAAAATCTATTCCAAAAGCTACTGTGGTTTTTATACATTTTTTTTTTACTTACTAGAATGAAAGAACTTTAATGAACTCTAAAAGTTTACAAATAAATATGTTCCAAACAAACACACGGAAAATCAGTAAATTTTCCCGTAACATGATCTAATCACGAAACAGGCGTGTCGGAACAAAGCTTAGTCTCTTTGTTTTTCCCCCTAACTCAATTTATATCATGCTCCACTTCTATGTGTCGAGCACTGTAATACGGAAAAACTGAAACATAAACTTCCCATATCACTTCCTGTGATTAGCTGACATTTAATTAAACGGTAACAAATAATCATATCAACAATAATAAATATGATAATAACGATAATGACAATTTAGAGGGACCAGCTTAAAAGCCTCCCGGTTTCTCCATCCTATGGGCACTAACAAAATTACTACACAATTCTTCTTTAATGTTCACCTGTTATTTTCAAGTAATATTCTTATTTCATCACAATTCTATCTTTCTGAGACTTTTGTTTCATACAGCAAGGCATTCCGCGTTTTGGGATATTCCGCCATTGCTTGTTTATGGATATTACGCAATACCGCCATTGCACCAATTTACCGTTCCTTCATTCTGCTGAATAGGATCAGCCTATCAAACTTCGCTCATTGTTCGCTTCCTAAATTAGCAACTCTTTTGGGTATATGTGGAGCATTCAAACGGTATGATGTTCTTCCTTCAAAGAGCAAAATTTTTCCTCAAAGTTTCTTTGACGGGCAGATCACACCTATTTAGATATTTCTACAAGAAAAGTATGGTTTTGTTCGTAATTATAACTATGCGTCTGCGAGACTATGAATTTATTTTGAGATGTTTAAAGTTCTCGTAGTATCACGGAAAAACCTGAAAAATGTTCATTTTCGGATCTACTGGGCATAATTTGCTGATTCAAATGCGGTTGTGTTCGATGATATGAGGAACGAACGTTGAACAACGGAGATAGTCAGAGGTAAACTATAGGAGATATCGGAGGAACATCCAGTTAAAATCGGTTCGGCATTCTTATTATTGAGAACATTCTTTCAGATGCGGTAGCTGCCAACGTTTACATAAGATGATTGAGTTAAGTCAATCAGCAATGAACTTTGACTGTTCCTACGGCTCGTGTTTCATATCTGTTGACTCATAAGGTGACATTTGATTCAACATTACTAGGTATTAGTTATAAGAAGCTGCTGTTAAAAGTGAAATCGATTAAATTAACTTAGGTAAAATCTAAAGTGGTTGCTTGGGATTTCTTAAACAGCCTGCAAAAAGTCTCGGAATTTCTTATTTACCTACGGACTTACAAGGATGATAACATAAAAAGCGTTAGAAGCAATAGGCTAGGAATCCCAAAAATAAAGAACTCAACTGAGTACTCGGTGCGAATATAAAACTACTGAGATACTCCGAAACAAACAATAAGTAACACAGGGACACTCACTAACTAATTCCGACGACATATGTGACTTTTTCTCCAATATGAGGCAGTATAGCCACGATGAAATCAATGAAATCCGAAATTCCTCCTGTAACAAGCAAACAAAAGCTCTAATTCTAATTATTTGCCCCAGCTCAGAAGGATAATGATATTCATCATTATTGTAACTATCATTAATATTGCCATCATCATCATCATCATTGCTATCAATGTCATTGTAAAAATTATGATTATCATCACTATTCAAATCTGAGTGCTCTGCTGACAAGTGTCCCTGCTAATGATAACTCCACTACTCGACACTCGAGTACTCGACAGATACAAAACTCCTCAATTACATGTTATGTAAATGTTTAATTAGCAGAATTATTTCTGGAAAAAAAAAAAAAAAAGAACCATTTCTATCTGAGTTAATCTGACGAATAGTTCCAAACTTCTTAAACTTACAGATTTCGACGACAAGTAACTCATGCCATCAGCGATTTGCCATGCGAACTTCATCAGCTGCTGTGATCTCAGGTTTGTTTGTGGTTTGATATCCGGGTCTTTATAGTAAGTGTCATTTAATCCACAGCTCTTTCTCAGATAACCCAGCAGGTCTCCAAAAGGAACATATTCTATCAACACCAGCAGTGGCTCTAAGAAAATAGGTAAAAAATGATGACGATTTTTATCACGTTAAAAATTTTCTTTACATTTCTTACTAATGCTATGGTGCCGAACTAGTCCCCAGTTACACTATGCGAGGTCTGTCTGACCAGGACGTGTTACCTCGTCACCAAACACTCATCCGGTAACCATCCAGGGGTGGATCCAGGGTAGTTTACCTGATTTCCGGAACTCACTCAAATTTTTTCCGACCTAGTTAAATGTTGATAAAAGTACTTTTGGAAAACACTCTAATTTCCCTTTGGAAACTACTGATACTTTTGTGGAAATCACTAAACGTCTTCCAGAAATAAACCATCTTTCTGTTTTACAGTTATTTATTAAAGAAAATACGTTTAGAATGACTAATTTCGTTATAATTGCGGTCATGAGGCGTTCGGGAGCGCTCCGGATCACGCGCTGGCCTTTCGAGCTTCGATTACACCTCGGAAACCGTCGGAAGCCGTCGGAAAATGTTCGTGGAGCCAATCTTTACGCAACCGGTGGGTGTAAGTCCTTGTTATTTGGTGACAATAACAGGCGGAACACAGTCAAAACCCCTCACGATTGGCTAGCAAAGATTTCGTCATCGGAACTCACTCAAAACACTCTTCTGATTGGCTAGTTGTGTTTGGAAACTACCTTGGAAACTACTGACAAAGTATAAAAAGGGCAGTTCCTCCCCCAGCGGGTCTCTTTCGTTGCTCCTACAATACAAGTACTTTTGAACTTGCTCAGGGGTTAACGACGGAATAACAATTTACTGTTAAACGTTTAAAAAATACTAGTGTTATGACTCGCGGAGATCCTGTTTGTCGGAGGGAGGATTGTTCTCCCTTCGACATTGGCCTAGTTTTCGACGAGATCCACAACTACTCGCCGCATCAGAAGCTGGAGTTCGTCGAAAACGTGTGGAAACCAGGTGAGCTTTTTTATTTCCCCGTGTCAATGGAAAATGGAAAATCTCGTAAGTTTGTCTCGGGCTGGCTGAAAAGGTTTTCCATGGCTAGCTTACTCCAAATATTTCGATGGAGCATTTTGTTTAGCTTGTGTTTGTTTTGGAGTTCAGTGTGGGCGAAACGCTAATAAGTTAGACAAATTATTGAAGTCTCCTCTCACAAATTGGACTTCGGCCGCTTCTCGCTTAACCAAACACTCGCTAGGAAATTGTGAAATTCACAATTTTTCTATGACTGCTATGAATGATTTCAAGAGAATGATGCAAAGAGGAGCTGTCCCAATTGACCAGCAGTTAAATAACATAGTTCAACAGCAAATCGCGAGAAATCGGGAGATTCTAAAGTCCCTTTTCAAAACTATTATTTTCTGTGGGAAAAACAACATCCCACTCAGGGGCGGAGAGATGATGATCCCACTAATGCTGCCCTAACCGGTAATTTCCAGGCATTGCTAGAATTCCGGGTAGACAGTGGTGACCAAACACTGCAGCAACACCTGGACACTGCACCCAGAAATGCCACATACATTTCAAAGACCATTCAGAATGAAATGATAGAAACTGTTGGTGCTCACATTTTGAATGATCTATCACAGGAAATAAGAAATAGTAAGTATTTTTCAGTTATGGCAGATGAAGCTGCTGACATTTCAAATAAGGAGAATGTTTCTGTAGTAATAAGATTTCTGGATACAACTAAAACCATCCAAGAAGAATTTATTGGGTATTACATTTGTGAGGAGGGGATTAACAGGGAGGCTATCAAGGACATTATAACTGCAGCTGTAGCAAACTTAGGATTGACAATGGAAGACTGTCGTGGGCAGTGTTATGATGGTGCAGGCAATATGGCTGGAAGACTAAATGGAGCCTCCTCATTGATCAGTGCAGAACACGAAAAGGCAATCTATGTCCACTGCATGAACCACAGGCTTAATTTGTGCATAGCAGACACTTGCCAATTGCCAATTGTCAGGAACATGATGGATATTGTGCGCAAGATTTCTAATTTTTTTAACAACTCTCCCAAGCGTCAACAACATTTAATAGCCAAGATCAGAGAACTATTGCCTCGGGCAAACCATACTGTTTTAATTGATGTGTGCCGCACACGATGGATTGAACGGATTGATGGAATGGACCGCATAGTTGAACTTCTCTACCCAGTCACAGCTACACTTGAAGACATCTCACTTAACAGAAACAGCCCTGGAGACTCAACCTGGAATCCAACAAGCAGACATGATGCTCAGTCCTTAATTAATGCAATCAACTTTTCCTTTATTGTTTCTCTTGTTATTGTCAGACATATTTTGGGATTAACTAGACCACTCACAGTGAAGCTGCAACAAAAAGCAATGGATCTTCTAAAAGCTAAAGATGAACTTGCTCTTTTGAAATCAGTCCTTGAAGACATGAGCACTGACATTGATAACAGACATCATAATCTCTACCAGGAAGCAGTGACCATTGCAAGACAAGTAGCAGTCCAGCCAGAAATGCCAAGGATAGCCCAGAGACAAATGCATAGAAATAATGCTCCTGCTGCAACTCCTGAGGGTATTTCAAGATCAATCTCACTAGAGTTTTTCTTGACCATGTACTCCAGCAGCTCAACACCAGATTCCAGGATGATGTATTTGTTTGCTATAAAGGTATTTCGATTATTCCCTCTTTTTACTAGCTACTGACCCTGCCTGGAAGGCCAATGTTTTGGAATTTTGTAACCATTACAGACAGGACATACCAAATTATGCAGGATTACAGGCAGAGCTTTTGTTATGGGAGAGATTGTGGAAGGGGAGGGATAACAGAGGAGATATTATTCCTGACAGTTTGGAGGCTACACTGAAGGATATTGACAAAGATGCATATGTCAACATCTATTCCATGCTGAAAGTCCTGATCACAATTCCAATTTCATCTGCATCTTGTGAGAGATCCATATCATCCCTTCGGAATCTTAAGAACTATTTGAGAAATACAATGACCCAGGACAGACTGAATGGATTGGCACTGATGCATGCCCACAGAGACATGGATTTTGACCTTGAACGTATAATAGATTTATTTGCTGAGTTACATCCTAGGAGAATGAGAATGGCAAACATTTTGTAATAATTTTTTGCACCAGCTGTTTCTAGAGTACTTGTGAGTTATGTTCTGTCTGGGTTATGGCCTTTAAGTCTCATAATCCTTAAACTGATGGAGAACAGTACAGAAGCTCAAACTGGTGCCTGTATAACTTTTTTCAACTCATTTCAAGGTTATTTTCTATTTTGTTTTACTTGTGATGATTTTCCATTGACATTGACATTGGGTTTTCATGTTAAGCTTAAATGGTTAACAAACATTTTCACTGAACTCAACCAGCTTCACAGCAATTCCCAAGGATGAAGAAAGGCTAGTATTATTTCAAATTATCATTTTACTTCAATTTGTATATCATTTTATGATTCTTATAATTTATATTTTTCTAATAATTGTTTTATTTTTTTAATTCCAGCTCCCAACACAGGCTAACCATCCATAAAGCCCTTCTCTCTCTCTCAAATTCTTTTCTGTGTTGTGCTCCTATAAATGAAATGAATAAAAGCCAGCTCAGGAAATGTTGTTTTTAGTGTTGCTAAACATTTGGATTTATTGAGCCTGGCTTTCATTCATTTCATTCATTATAGGAGCACAACACAGAAGAAATTTGAGAGAGAGAAGGGCTTTATGGATGATAAGCCTGTGGTCCCAAGGATGAAAAAGGCAAGTAGATTTTTATTATCAATCTTTAAACTATATCATCAATTGTGCTTGTTTTTCTTTTGTTATCAAAAACACTAACACTTGGTTCGTTTTTTTTTCTCCACATCTTGATTTTCCTGACTGGGAGGTGATGTTTTCCAGTGTGAAAAGTCTTGGTGATGACTTGGCCTTCCTGAAAACACTATATACACTGGTTTGCACAGTAGCTAAAGGTGGAATATTTGTAGATCAGAGTGTTTCCTGTAGTACTTTCAAGAAAAATAAATGTTTTTTGCCTTTTTGATTACATGCTTTTTTAGTCTTTTGGGGGCAATTAAATTTTCTAAAAATGCATGAAATGGCCTTTAGAGAGCTCTAAATTTCAAATTTTCTCGGGGGGGCATGCCCCCGAACCCCCCCCTAGCAGGAGTGGGTCCTCGGGTGGAAACTACTCACTCAAAATCCTGGATCCACCCCTGCCATCGTTGTAGTTTTTAGAAATAGAGCTATTAAATGTTTGATTAAATAAATTTACGTTTACTGGAGCTCTAACTTGTTGCTCCTTGTTTTTTATGGGATAAAAAAGGATCCCCTTGTGAACTTTCAAACTTCGAAACATTTGTTTTGTCGACAAAAAATGCATGCGATCGATAACATTTCTTGTCGGTCTTGTTATTCGTTCTCATTCCGTTAAATGTTTATTGTCACTTTCCCTTTGATGTACATTCTAAATATTTACAGACTAGACTTTGTTTGATATCTGATAGCTTGTTTGATATCTTGTCGTCTCTTAAATCAGATCAAATTGGTACCTTTTCGATCGTTACGCGCATTTGACTCACCTTTCGCCATCTTGAAAAAACTATCGAGCCTTTAGTACGGCTCTGCAGTATTTCCCGTGGTATTCGTATGGCGATGCCCACGAGACTCAAGAGCAAACTGAAGAGTCACCTAATGCTTTGAATGTATATCAAATTAGCTAGCAACCTTTGTGGCGAGTTTACTGATGGCGACTTGGTAGTGACGAGATTGCCTTGATGGCTAGCTCGCTGGTGGCAAATATTCCTGGTAGCGAGATAATTGTCTAGCACTGAAATTAGCGATGAATTGTCTCAAATATTTTCGCGGGCAGAGGAACTCGCGTCTTGTGGCACTTGTAGGGACCTTTAGCAATTAGGACGGCAACGCTAAGGAAGACGTCGACTTAAAAATAAATATATATTTTTAGTTGGAATCTTGCGAACTACTGGATGTGCTTATTATCTCTTATGGCGCCACAACTTAATCTCAGCATGACGTTTGAAAGCGGCGTGGAGTACTAAATGGAAACTTAAGTAATTTGTCGTTAGGTTCAGGCTACCACAGCATTGAGCACTTTATGCCAAGGTAGACTCTACCCCCACATTGATTTATATATATATATATCTGAAGGTTGAACTAATCAATAAGACAATTTTTTCCGTGCCTCTGAATTTCACGCTTACGGAGGGGGACATGGGGGTTTGCGATGTTGCGGTGTTGACCTTTTTTTGATACGGTATTGCGGTGAAGAACAATCGGTATCGCAGTGTTGCGGTGATCTCAAACCTTACGGTGTACGATGTTTGTAATTTCAAACCGACGGTGTTCCGTGAAATAAACCATTTCTGGTGTTGCCGGATATCGTAAGGGGGAAGGGGGTGTGAAGTAGATTTATCACATAAACTGCGGTGTTATAGAGGGATTGTCTCTTTTCAAGTGGAAAAGGATGGCGTTGGGCTGAGAGGGGTAAACCTGCAAGAAATCATGAAGTATGGGCATTCATGGCAAAGGATCTACAGCATGTTTCTGCATATTGGATGCATTTTCCGGTCACATTGCGAGGGAATCAGGACATTTTCTTTGGAAGTAGTTCAACTGAAAGATGAGCCATGAATGTTGACAGTAGCGCTTTCCTTTGTCCGCCAGCGTGAAGAGCTCCTAGAGAGGAACACCAACGAGATCCGAATGAGTACTGGCATTACAAGTGCTATTAAAGGACCTCATTAATATTTATAATTAATGTTTCCGCCAGGACCGTGGCCTCAGTTGCACCTCTTGAATGGGGGCTGCAGAAGATTGTGCAGCAATTTGCAACCATTCAATTAAAATTCAACTAATCTCTTGAGTTGTATGACACTGGACGTAGAGAATTGCCATTCCGCTGTTCATATCAAACAGGTGAACATGTCTATGATGGAGTATGCTAGATCCTTTGAATTTACCATGAAAGAATCAAGAAGACGACACAATGGGCCGGGTTTTATCATACAAGTAGGAAGTCATGGTTCCCAAAACCAAAGGAGACAATACCATTCTCTAAAGTCCCTTTGATAAAGCCACTTCCCATCGTTTATATGTCTAATGCAAATTGCGATATTATGCGGAATTGGGCTTCGGCGTACGGAGCAGCAGTGCGACAGCGGAGAGTGCGCCAAGAGACGACCATGGCAAAGCATGGCAATCTCCCTGAGTTTATATGCCAATCGCAGCTGTTGTTAAACCAATGAGTGAAAGCGGACCACCCGGTTCTTTATAGGATGAAGCAAAACCAGTCGACATCATCGTTGACCACATCGATAGAAAAACGATAAACTTAGCTGGTATAGTGTTAGTCACCACGATGACTAACTGTATAACTTTTTCTATGAAATAGAAAATGGATTTTAAACAAAAAAAATTAGACAAAGAAAGTCGTGAGATCAAAGGAAGCAAACGGTGAACTTCACTTTTTTTGAGAATGTATTCTAACTTCAGAGGACGCAAGGCTGACCTAACGGAAACACTATCGTATCACTTGGCAGCAGTAACTTCTTTGACTTCTTTTAGTGTCGCCTAATAAAATGTAGGTGACAGCAAGGAACTTTACACACGGAGACTGCGGTAGGAATGTCTTGTGATGTGTTTCTTTTGTTTGAAAAGTAGAAGTAACGGTGATGACGTTTTTTTTTTTTAATTTAGACCAGGTAAATCTTGCGGTGTCGGTGAGTTGATAATATTTCTTGTGGTGATGCGGTGTTTGTTCTATTTTGTTTGCGGTGTTACGGTATTCAGAACCCACCATGTCCCCCTCCTTACGAGATCATCAGACAGATTTTAATGAAGATTGTACCTCACTTAGTTTAAATATATACAGTGGTTGTTCAATTTTGCTAGTTCGGTGCGGTTAGCATATTTCCTGTTGCGAAATGATAGTCTATGTTGCATACATCGTTGTTTGAATGTTCCATCTTTTAGTCCGATGAAGTTCTTTCCTGTGTTGTCTTTGTCCGTGGTCACCTTGGTTTTGTAGATTACGCTAATGATGAGGCAGTTGTTATCTAGCGGGAATTGGTCTCTTTCTCTACAGTTGCATCCGTTTTGCGTTGCGGTGTTGTTGTTGTTATGGTTGTTAATGATGCTGCCCATGTTCGGTATGCAACTGTAGCTTACTTTCACATTATTCTTGTTAAAGACTGGGTGGAGATGTTGGTTTAATGGGAAGTGTTTCTTGACTAGGTTGAGGAAGGTTTGAGCGACGTTGGTTTTGGACATTTTTGCTGTATTGGGGGTTAAAGCAAATGATGTTTCTTTTACTATTTCTTTTCGTGGGTGCGGTAGTGTTTTTCTTGCAGTAGTTAAGGCTTTCGTTGAATCCACTTGATCTAAGGGCTTTGTTGTAGAGAGGCTTAGCTCTGTCGAATGTTTCTTTGTCGGATGATAAGGCTGATAATTTGCGATTGATGGCTGCGGGTATTTGCTTGATTACAGTGGGTGGGTGGTTATGATATAAAGCGGCTCGTCATTCGGTCTTCTGTACGGTTGGAAGAGTCCGTTCGTCAATTTGAGTGTAATAGCGAGGTAGTCAAGTGATTTTAAATTACTTTGAATTGTTAATTTCGGTCCGTGTTCCTTGAAGTGCCTTGTTATTTCTTTCTGTGTCCTCTCTACTTGAGGTCCTGTGGTGTTCTTAAAAATGGCGAGTCCTTCGTCCCTGTAGAGTCCGATGTTGTTTGTTCAGTATTTGTTTGCAAGGTCGTTCAATATAGAAAGTCCAATTAGTTTGCATACTTCTGCGCCGTCAAAGCTTCCCATCGTTACGTCAAACAAATCGTCGTTGTCTTTTTTCACCCTTGGTGATCTGTTGTGGAATATAATTGATTTTCTGGAGTGCATGATGATATCGATATCTTAATTGGTGATCTTGGTGCGTTTCATGCATAGCGAAGTGGATGGCTTTGGTCAGTAGTTTATCAGATATGGAAGGGTAGAAGCTTTCGATGTCGAATACGGTGAAGGTGTGTAGATGCTTGTCGAAGATATTTTTGAATCAGTCGATTACGGTGGAGGAGTTTTTCCATTGGTTAAGTGAAGTTTTGTTTCTTACGTCGGTGTCGATTCTTTGGAGTATTTGTTTACTTATTCGCTTTTGACTGGGTTGATTAGTCTTCAGTTCGGTCCTGGATGTCGAGTTGCGTTGCTATGGCCTTTGCTTCTTGGCTAATATTGTAAACAAAGTCCTTGCCCGCCTCTTTGTGAGTTGTCGTTAAGTTGTTTTGCATTAGTTTTTCGTGCTGGGTTTCGTCGAGTTCGCAGAGGTTAGTTGTTTTGTCGGCGGGGATGAAGGCTTTCGTAGAGCTTTTGATTCTTTGTATGTCCCTATTTAGCTGGGTTTGAAATTCGTCTTGTGTGTCTCTGAATTGGATGTTGTTTACCATGTCCATGAGGTCTGCTTCGAATCTATCTAGATCTTCATGTTTAGGGGGGCATTTTCGAGATTTAAATCAGTATTTATTTAAATTAAGTGAGGTATTCTTTTCATTAAGATCTATCTGATGATCGCGTAAGCATGAAAGTCAGAGTCACAGAAAAAGTCATGTGTTTTTGATTAGTTCAAGTTTCAGATATAGCACGCTCTGCGGACGCATCGATTACTATACCGCACGGATAGACTATAACCACGATTTATATATATGTACTTTGAATTCTGGCAGACTATTTCTGTTTTTGTTTCTTTTTTTGATCTAGTAACCAGTTCGCCTTTCTTTTGACCGGTTTCGGCGGGAAATCAATTTTGATGAATTTCATTTGAAAAAGGCGTTTAAGTAACCTCATAAACTCAACCCACTACAACCTTGTGATCTCCGTTTTCTATTAATCTCCAAAAGTGTGACGTCATACACGAATAAAGTAAACAGCTGCAAGTATCAGCTCACCAGATTCCGTAACACATCCCAAAAGTTTGATGACGTGAGGATGTGGTTTTAGCTGCTTCATTGTGTCAAGTTCCACCATCAAATCTCTCTTGTCAGATTCTGCAGCGTTACCTGGAGATAAAACAAGTTAAGATTTTGAAAGGGCGATCGCCACTTTGAACTGGCGTTCGCAAGTGCCACTTTGAACTGGCGAACTTTGAAAAGCTTTTTCGATCACCTACACGACGGCGTACCGATTATAAACACATGTTTTCAATTCATAAGAGACCCAAAAAATACAGTGACTCGCTCATTCTCGACTGATTTCTTAAGAAGAAGAGTGACTCCAATTTGTTTGTTTTTCTTACACATACTTTTGTCTCAGAACATGCATTAAATGAGTTAGAGATGACTAACTTTGTGTAGGTTACACATTTACACAAAGTTAGCGTTTCATTGTCACGCGTGCATTTTCTAATACACTAAGGTGCCCGTAGTGACGTGCAGTTTGACCGTTGCACACGTACAGTGCTTAGGATTTGCACGCGCGTCAAGCGTGTCTAATACTGCAAGTATTATCACTCTCACAGTTAAATAAAAACAGTAGGAAGCATCTTAAAAGAATGGAGAATAAGAACCCATACTGCCAACATGAAAATTTCAGGAGATATAAACAATTTTTAAGAAATGTAACATCATACTTTTGAGCATTTTAATAGCCACTATAGTTGTCCCAGGTCTCCCTCGAAGTTGCTCAGCTGTTCCCTTAGCAACCTGACCAAAAGCACCTTTACCAATAATTTTTTCTACAGACACGTGATCCCTTGGCACCTCCCAAGAGCGTGTTGATGGATGGAGAGGCGCGTAATCAACTTTTTGATGAGCGCTTTGTTCCTTAGTATTGCGTTCGGCACTTATTTCTTTGAGATCCATGTATTCGGCGCGAGACTGGATAAAATGTCTTGCATCTGAGCGGCCGCCCTCCTGATCTTTCATCGGCATTTCGTTCTAAGATGAAGACAAAGAAAGGAACAGTTTTCTTTGATTCCTTACACATAAACTTCAAAATTTCCTACCTTTTTAGTCTAAACTTCGCTTAAATTTTAACGCTAAGGATCTTTTTTTTCTAATGTTAAATCACCTTGTTTCGCATAAAAGAGTCAGTAAAAATGGCAAAAATGGAGTTTTTCATATAATCAGAACTTTTCTTACATAATATGCTTCTCTGCTGTCTTCATTTCGTCTAAAATAAAACAAAACGTGAGGGTAAAGTATTTTTAGTGTTTATAACTGTTTTGTACTTGTGCTGTAACAAGTGCAAATTTGCATTCAGTCCTTTATATGTTATTGATATAATTTTTTTCATCTTAAAACTACATTATGATGATAATAATGATTACAGTAATAATATGAAAGCATTCATTTATACATGATAAAATTGCAACGTGGCTGACGTGGTCGTGTCTAGGTCAAGTCTAAGAAGATAAAGAAAATTATAGTCTTAACTCAAACTACAAATACATGATTACAACGACAAATTTAAGATTCCACCAACATTAAATAATAAGAAATTAAAATGTGCAAAACTCAGAGGGAATTTTGTTAATTGTCCAACCAGCTGTTCGTACTGATACTGAAACTTATTTGTTGTGTCACTCATTTTTTATGTGAGTCATAGAGCACTAGCAAGAACTTGAAAGGAGATCCGAAGATCTGCTTTCAGCATTTCAGTTATCATTGTGAACTATAACAAATGCTTAGCTCTAAAGAAAGCAACCCTCGTCACAGTGGCAATAAGGCTCACCTTCGCTTTCCCGCAGTGTCTATCGAAAGAAAAAAATAAAAGATGAGGGCAAAGTTACGAAACAAAAAGTGCATGGGAGAATTAGATGGCAACTCGAGGGAAACCAAGAATCATTCACCTTTTTTGTGGATCCAAACCACATGGATAACGAGAATGAGATTGAATAGAAGAAGAACTCCGATGATGGATCCAAGTAAAACGTGTTTGCAAGAACATTCACAAATGTTCATCTCTGTCAAATAAAAATTTGTAGACCGATTCATTTACACTTACTCACAAAGACAGACTAGGATTTTTTCGTATTCTACAAAATATGGTAACAGTCAAACATAAACCTAAGATTGCTGAAGATGATGTTAAACAAGCGTGGAACTTTTCCACTTTAAATAAACCTGAGCCTGTTCGTAACTGGTCTTCTGTTCGTGGAAGATTTACGCCGGTATAAAATGCTTTTACTAAGCCATATTTCTAGGATCTTAATGTTAATATGAAACGTATGTTGAAGTCCTAAATGTAATAACTGTACTAAATGTAATAAAGTCCAAAATGTAATAACATTTGGTCCTAAATGTAATCAAGCCCAAAATGTAATAATGTTCGGTCCTAAATGTAATAAGCCTCCAATGCAATCGTTTAACTTCGCTAATATTGAGGTGTTAAAGAGACAGCTGTCGCACCAAAGAATCCTCTGACCAATATTCATGTCATATTGCGGGCTCGCTGATATTAATCAGCGTCTTTTTATTTGCTTAAGACGTAGGTTGAGAAGCATTGGCTACAAAACCTTATACTAATGTGCTTTTGGCATCAAAAAAAGCAATGAGAACGCTGATAAATAGCTCTCTTTATATCGTTGGCTCAGACTCTTAAGTGTAACAGATTTTGACGATATACCTGTGTGATCAGTGCTTAAGTTAACGCTTCATGAACCGAATTACAAGGAAAAGGAAGTCCACCAACTTATACTTTAGACAAATTCCGGGCTCGGAAGAGCATTTTTTGTACTATCTTCCCTTGCCAGATTTGTATTGGTCTGCATAAAATATATTCATATGCGTTATTGACCAAGCGTGAGGTCAAAATGGCTAGATATTGGCCGAGTTCTCTTTTTTTGCGTTTTTATGGACTGAGACTAAGTCTCGGTCCATAAAAAAAGTAGGAAAAAGAACGAGGCTGATATCCAGTCACCTCGACCGAACAAGCTTGCTCAAGAGAGTTTGTATTCTCATGGCTTAATCATTAAAGGATTCATTGGGTAGCAAAAGATTTCTCTTTGATAAGAATCAAGAATGGCTTGTTTATTTCGAGAGCTGATAGTGAAAGCCAACTGTGTTTGCAACACAATAACCCAAGAGGGTCGTTTATTTTTTTTATGTTTATGCCGACATTGTCCAAAAGCTACGAAATTTGTAAGTTTTCTTGCGTGGGATCAACACGGGGAATCCCAAGCGGGCGAGGGTGGGCCCATCATGCCCGCCCAGGTAACCAATCAGAACACAGGATTCACTTCATCTTGCACACGTGTGCTGCTGGCTATAAGATAAAGTGATTTACAGAGTAAGATATCTACTGACCAATCACAAATTATCCGACTTCACGATCACAGGTGTCGACATGTTGCCTTTTTCCACGCAAAAGTCAAATTGACCAGTCAATCAATTTACAAAAAATCATCAACAGCAGAAGACATTTTACTCAGCGCAATCAAAACATGACGATGCGCTACCGCAGCCGGTATGGTCATCTAATTGTTGATGTATAATTAGGATGGTTACGTATAACCTGAGGTTGCCAAAGCAAAATTATTTTCGTCACAATTAAGAATTTTCCTTACGACTCTCCAAACACCTTTACCTTTTGGGTCTTCCGAGGTAATGGTTGTTTTTGTGGTGCTAGATGGTGCATCAGAAGGTACCTCATCTTCAGATATCGCTAGGATTGATCCCGGGTCAACTGCAAAGTCTCCAATACCTTTGCCTCCAGGTGTAACAGCCTTGCTTAGAACTGACAGAACTTTGCTTATCTCTTCATTTTGATTGAATTCCAATGAGAGATAGACAGTTATACTGCCGCACCTGAGGATAATAATGGAGCCACAACTTAACATGTAAAGAAAATCCCAGAAAACTTCCACTTTGTCGAGTAACATAAAGGCAAACCCAACAAATTGTTTAGCTCGTATGCAAGCTATAATTTTGGCGACCAAATGAGTGCTTCTAATTCCCTTTTGCAAGCTCTATTAAAGCTTTGAATGACGCAAAGACTGCTAATAGTATACAGTGTTTTCCCCAGGTTCATAAAAATGTTCTAAACAGGAACATCTGAACCGGAAGGAATTCAATACGCAAAATGGCGAGCACTGGTTCAGCAATGTTCCACCCAGTGGAAACTACTGTAGATGACTCTCTTATAGCCTTCTACAACGAATCACAAAGTTAGAGAAGTATTATATTACAAACCAACATCGTACTTGTACTTTGTAGCTTCTACCACTTCCAACGACGGAAACTCTAATCTAAGAACATCACCCACCTATTCAGGGATTAAGAAAAAGTCCATCAATTAATAAGCTCTGATAAGGCAAGTTACTTGAGGCACATAGAATACGTTAAAATATCCTAGTCTTCTCGGGTGCAAATTCCCCTTCTTTCTCTCTATTTTGAATTGCCGAGTTAGAGTAATTCAACATGATGGTGATAAATAGCGAAGGAAGCGCGTACGTGACTCCGAGTACGTTTTGATAATTTTAATCTTTATTCTACAATTATTCTAGTCAGGCAAACCTGAGTAGAATAATTGTTTTAGTAAGGTATGTTTAGTGAAGTAACCCAAACCAAAACGTTTTCACCTGAATGGGCCGAAAAGATTGTGTTTACATAAGGGAGGCGAGTGAAAAAGCGGTCATTAGCCAGTTAGTTCAGCTAATCAGAAGGCTCTAAAAAGTTAAATTTTCGCAGTCCTTTAATGGTATGGTGAGTTTTTGGTTAGCTCTTTATTTAACCTATGTGATTTTGTCCACAATAAATTTATTCCACAGTTGACCCCCGGTACTACTTATTCTGACGTGATTTTTTCTTCGATCGGTTGTTGTAAATCGCCTTAATTTATTTTACTTACTTTGGACTGTAGTTGCTGAAGGGTTTCTTGAAGATTACTGCTGCAATCTCTGTTCGTGACGGTTGACTTTATGTTGAATTTATCGTCAGATACAACTTTAGAAAGAAAAAAAATTCAAAAATACACTTCGGGAACATACACAAACACCTACAGAAACATATGTGAATTGTTTTTTACTTTATGTGTTCTACTTTCATTCACGAGAGAGACCATGCTTAAAAAAAATTCTAATCATTTTGTTATTTCATAGTCTTTGTAACATTATCAAAATGAAACGCAAGACACATTTCAAATCGCTACGTTTAATAACTTTGGATCAAATCTACTTACTGAGGTGAAACCATTTAAAAACCATGTTCAATTCATTTTCGACTTTGCAGCGATACCAACCAGGGCTGGACTCTTTTACTTGAAAAATCACTTTACTGGGATTATCTTCAGACTTCCAATTCGTGACGACATCGTCCTTTGTCCAGGTAACTGTTGGTGATGGGTAACCGTCTTTATAACAAGAAAAGCTGACCTCTTCTCCAGGTTTCTTACTAAATGTCTGATTTCCCGGGTTTGTGATCACCGCTGGATCTTTGATTTAAAAAACAAAACAAAAAACCCAGAAAAACAAGAATAACATTAATGTTTTTCATTATGTGTAACAGGCATACTAACCAAGTGAAAATCCAATTGCAACGAACGGTACGCATGTTCCAATACTGAATTGTGCAAGAATTGTGGTATTTCAGCCAGAAAACGTATATGTATGCTGCTAAAGCTAATTTTTATTTTACCGGGGTGGGTAAAGGTTTACAGAGAAAATCCCTTGTCATACCTAGAGCAAAACTGGTCCAAAGTCAGTGAAATTCAGCCCTTGTAACTTATCTATAGGAACGTTTAAGTGACCAATGTCACAAAAACATCTCTCTTGTGATATGAGATCCACAGATTTGAAATCTTCAAATATAGAATCCACTCCCTTGCTTTGAGGATTACTTTTTACCTTGTGGCAAATTTTCCATTTCGGAGAAGAGTATATCAACTAAGTGATCTGAAATGTTTTTTGGGCAGTATTCCAGAATTGCTTTGGATAATCTATGTTCTATATATGTTTTAAGGTAGCACGCCTTCTCAAATACATCGCACGGATGAGTAAATATCTTTTCCAAGCGAGCCAAGTCTAACGAACATTCCATTAAAAATTCGTCATGAAGGGCATGTTCCAGATTGCCTTGAAGTAATCAAGGGTTGAAATTTTACGGCATTATAACAGCTAAGTATACACCCCGTGCGATAAATAGAACTCTATCAGTGACATGCCGCGAACTTTCCTGGCCAATTTTGTTTGGCCTGCTATCTCCCAACACATCGCAGAGTGTATTAAGAGCTAATGTCAACATGCATCAGACAAACAGCGGCAAGTCGCCCAAATTCGTTTTCTCTCCTATTTTCATATTTTGTAGCCCAATATATTCTAATAATTGTGGTGTAGTTTTTTTGTGAAAATATGTTAGTTTTTGAGAAATGAGTTTTTTCGTTCGACCGCTCAAATATGCAGATTTTCACCTTGACCCGAGTTGTGTGACCTCATATAACGAATTTACTTGACCTCCGGTATTTCTGTCGGCATAATCATTTGTTTTATCATCTAAACTTAATCCCCTGTCATTATTGAAGCTGGCAAAGAAATGTTTTATTTTTTGGTGAGTATTTTTGTCTGACATACTTTTTCTATGTCGAAAAGCAGCATCAAAACAAAGATAGTTTTAACAATGACCGATATGACAGAATCTACTGAGCTTCTAGCTTTTAAAAGACAAAAAAACGATGGTTATAAAGTTACTGTAAAAATTTCCTTGTGTATTTATGTTATTCTATCGTGAGACGAACTCAAAGTCCGGCAAAATTTACTTACTAGCGACTATGAAATATACATGGTGTGCCTACTTGTCGCCACCGTTTATTGTATCGAGGCATAAATCACTACAATTTGTAAAAAAATCTAACATAACACTCTTACCTTGTTTATTTATGATTTTATAAGACCAATAAGCTGTTTCGGTTATTATATTACACTTGGGTATTACTTTTTGCCGGGAGCCCAGGTTTTACGTCGTGTTTTCTCCTATCCCATTTATATCAGAAGCTGGTCACGCAATAATTGATACCAACACAAATGAATATTTGCCCTGTATGAAGATTTTTGTTTATGTTGAATTGACAATATTACAGTATGTTACTTTGTGGTCACTAATCGTTGTTTCAGTAGCAGCGTAGTAGTGCAAAGTGGGTTGTTGCTTCAACGCCATTGAAATTTATAGTGTTCTGGCAGGAGAGCAAAGCGTGATGCTCTGGGAATAAAAATTCTAGGGGCCTTTTATATGATATCGGAATGAGTTTTGTTCAAGAACGAGTTCGTCCTGGTTGCCACATGATACCAGAGTAAAATTATTCGAAATGAGTCATTTCTGAATGAGTTTATTGAGGTTTTCATTTCAGAACGAAACACTTATTCTGGACGACCTTTTGTACCTGTATAAAGTAAACGCGGTACGACACTCATATCTGTATGAATCCTCTTTATTTAGGAGCGAGGGAAGCATAGAAAAAGGACTTAAATACTTGTTTTTACAAGCTAAATTATCTTGCATGTAAACGCGGTATGAAATTCATTTCGTTCCGAAACGAAACCCATTTTGGAATAGTGTAAAAGGTACCTTAGGGACGGACCATTAGATTTTTGATGCAGGGGGGGGTATTTTTCCAATTGGACCCCCCCCCCCTTCATCAAAAGTCTAATGGTCTGTCCCTTGGATGCTATCAGGTCCTAAAACTTTTTATGTGATGAAAGAAAGACACCTTGAAAACAAAGGACGACTCGCAAGCAGTTTACTGCAAATTTGACAATAAGTATAATTCTGATGCCTCTTTGAAAAGAAAAAAGGCTTGAATAGTAGACATCGCAAGATCTTTGGCTATGTTACAAAAGAATACTTAATGCACTAGAAGTGCACACATCGAGTTCTGGATGCACTTGAATAGTCTGTTTAAAAAATGCAGACATACAGTTATTTTAATCCCTACACAATTATGTTAAGACGAACAAAACAAAAAAAAGTACAACCGTCCTATCTCGAAGCAGGACAGATTTTGTCAGCAAAAAACTCTGACAGATCAGTGCCTAAAAGTTTTTATAAGTAAATAACCAGTTGACGTGAATTTTACGAGGTGAGACTAACAGCTCGTACTTGGCAAATCACATCTTTTGTTTTTCAGGTACTGACAGGGTTGGTGGGGGAGGGAGGAGGCGATCGGAAATGGGTGAGGATGCTTGTCATACTTTTCAGGGGTCCAAATCAGTGATCTGGTACCTTTTACGATGTCTCAAACTTTAGTGGACTACCAGAGACCTAGCTGGTACCTTTTAGGGTGTTTTTCGCTCAATAAAATACCTGAAATAAGCATTGCTAGGACGATTTTAATGATCTGACTTGAGCCTCTGGAACACATCGATAAAGGGGTTCTTCTTTTTAGGATTTTTCAATTTTTTTTGTGTTTAAATTGGTATTCTTTAGGGGTAGATATCAGTTGTTTAGGGGTAGATATCACTTCTTTAGGCACTCTACATCTATTAATGGAACCACGAATCCACCCAACACCGGTACCGAGATTTGATCTATGAGTGGGGCAAGTTGTAAAATCATCGATATCTTTTTTCGAAGATGCCGACTCGCGACAAAATAAGATCAACGTCAGTTTCTGGATCTCCGCAAGTAACTTGAAATGTCTTTTTTACAACTACGTAAGGGAACGACCTGAGATATGCAACGTCGATCTTCTCGATAACTATACCCAAAAGTCCCACCAGCGAACGATTTAAATGAACAGCAAATCTCCTTGTTGGCATGTAAGATGAGACGCTTATACAACAGATCAATTAGCCAAAGCAGTATGTAGCTTGTCAATCGAATTGACTTTTGTAAACATTCTTTGACTTCCGCCGGCAAAGGAATCATTGATGGATCTGAACATTTTAGTCTGCTGAATACAGTAATTTTTGGAAGGTTTTTATAGATATGAAATGAGGGGAAAAAACCATCTCTTGGTAATTCGGAGGTTGACTCATCTTTGAATTTATGTGTCACGCTTGTCATGCAACTAACATAATAATGTGGAGAAGATTTACAAACTGCAAATTAAATCTGGCTAAAATCTGGTAGAGCATAACTTGATCATAGAAACAGCTAATAAAATCATAAATGAACAAGGTAAGAGTGTCATGTTAGATTTCTTTACAAACTGTAGTGATTTATGCCAGTAAACGGTGGCGACAAGAAGGCACACCATGTATATTTCATAGTCGCTAGCGAGTAAATTTTGCCGGACTTTGAGTTGGTCTCACGATAGAACAACACAAATACACAAGAAAATCTTTACAGTAACTTTATAATCGCCCCATGTTAGGTAACCCGGATTCCGGAATCCAGGAAATTTTTGCTTGTGGAATCTGGAATACTGGGCTTTGGAATCCAGAATCTAGCTTTTGGAATCCAAGATCCCGCTAAAAAGGGAATCCAGAATCCATTTGCTGAAAATCCATTTCAAATCGTATTAACGGCTTTCACCTGCATTCATGCAACCACTTTAGAGAGCAGTTCACTCACGTGGTCAATCGGTGCTCAAATTTAGGAAAAATGTTTATATAACAAAAGCGTTCAAATCCCACAGGAATTGCTTGGAACATCATCAATATGGCCGCTATTTGATTGTTTTGGAACACCTCTAAATAATGATATGGCCGCTATGACGTCCTGTGAATATTAACTTACTGGTTGTCATAACAACAGTTGGAAGGTGACCTTGTAAAAGATACACTTTAGTTTTGCTTTTAATCGAGGAATTTGTAAATTTTTGTGAAAATAATCTAACTGTTGAAGTGGGGATCTAACTCAAGAAGTGGGGAGAAACACTCGACTACGTCTCGACACAAGCCGCACTACGATAATACTCATGCAATAATATGCAAGGGACTTCTGCCATAAGTTTGGTCCACTGACTGTGATCCGATACAGAAGACCTTTATGAATACTATGCTTGCAGATAGAGAAAAGTACCCTTACCGAGTCTCCATTCCCGATTGCCCTACAACATCAAGTCAGTGCGTTCCGCTGAATTCTGGCATTGGATCGACATTGACGGTTATCTCGTAAACGTAAGGCTACTCCTGTTATTGCGCAGAGAAGATGAGGGCATAAAGAAATGCGTTTCCCTGAAAGCACTTCGAATTCTAGACCGCATGGATTTCGAGACAGAGAGAGAGACAGAGAAAGAGAGCACTGGGCTATCTCTTTTAAGCTACCTGGCAGGATCGACATTCTACCCAAAACACAGCAGGCTTTTTATAACCGATCGACTTCTTAACGCAGTTTCATCATTGACATGCACTGCCCTGCGAATGTCACTTTAATCACCGGTGGTGGTGAGCCGGGGCATACTAATGGACGTTGAAGCAAGGCCAGATTTAAGAACCCAGCTGGCGTGGCGGTGAGGGAGGAGGAGCTTTACGTTTGCGATCAAGGGGATGGTACCATTAGAGTGGTAAATATGAGATCGCTTTTCTTCCATGCATCCAGGATTGGCCAAGAAGATCCAGACGCCGAGGAAAGCCAAAGTGAGGAAGAGGATTTCGCCATAAGACGAATTCGCAAAGTGTCTGTGCACAATCTTTCCCTTATTCCAGAGGAAAATGTACCTGATTTGGTATCGCCTTTTGCCATATGTGCAGCCACAAAGGATAACTTTGAACTTTATGTATCAGATTTTTGCCTTTCAAGGTTTTCAAGATTACCAGTGCTATAGAGCAGGAAACCAACTACATCGGGGAATTAAAGGAACTGCTGTCATTTGACAGCTCTACTCTATTAATCTCGTTAGCCTTAACTCGCGACGAGCAGCACTTATTTGTAGGAGACGGAAATGGGTCAAATGTTCGTGTATGTCAAGTACGAGGAGGATTGAAGACTAAAACAATTTCAAATATTCCAGGCCCAACAGGAATTGCAGTTACAGAAAGAGGGACAGTGTTTGTATCTTCTAGCAAAGAACACTCACTCTTTAGCTTGAAGGAAAGAGACTTATTTCGAGGACCTGAGAACATACATAAAGTCTGTGGAGGTAGCGTAGGCCACTTCGATGGTATCAAAAGCCGGTGGAATATGCCAACTTCTCTGTGCGCCTACAGAAACATTTTTTTATTTGTGACACCGGTAACGAATCAGTAAGGATGTTGACGTCAGCAAGGCCCTTATCCCTCTGCAAAAAAGGTTTGCCCAGTATGCCAATGTGTTTAGGATCGACGCGAAAGCAAAAAAAGACCTACCGGGTACCTTTAAAGGTCATGTCAAGCATGTCGAAGAAGTAGTTACGTTTCTCAAATCACCACGAACATAAAGCTTTAGAGAGGACAGGCAAACGGAACACAAATGGTCCCGACTTGACAATATCTCAAACCACAAGACAGTCGTTCCTCATTGTGCTAGAATCACTTACCAGTCTTGCTAACACACTGACAGAGATTGTACATCTTCTTTATAGAATCTTTTTTAAAAGTATGACGACATTGAGTGTGGAATGCTTTTTTAAAGGAATGAGAGTAGACCACGACATGCCCACCGTGGCTAACTACCCTTTCAGAAGAGCTCGTTGCGTCCAAGACGACATGCTTCGCATTTGCTAGAAGGACCTTTCGTATTTCACTGGGCCCAATTAATTTTATCCGGAGAAAATAATCAAGGGTGAGCCTCCGAATATTAAGAGACGACCAAGTAAGCATTTGCAAATCAGCGAGGGAACTGGAAGTAAAGAGGAGGACAAAAGGCGAGAAGCTGTAATGCGAGAGTTTGTCGAAGAATATGGAAAAGGTGTACGACAGGAAACGTTCGCTCAAAGACGAAAGAGTTGACCGGCACACTACCATATGCACTCAGCATGCGTCCATCTGTCATCACAGCCTCATCGGAAGACTGCCACGACGTAACAACAGCCCGCCAAATAGAGGATGCTAATGAACTACTGCAGGGTGGAACTGTGCAGGTGCAAAGTGTTTACCACAATAAGGATGTCGTTGCTGTGAGACATAACCGCAGAAGAGAGATTTCGCCATTCTGACTGGCTATTCTCTTACAAGACTTTCAATTAGAAGGCAATTTCTTATGAAAGAAAGTGAAATTTCAGTGGCTGAACCAGACAAGTGACCCTCCCGGCGATGACTGTTCGGAACTCACCCAACTGCATTCTAACCCGAGTTTTGGGATTCACTGCCAAGGGTTCAAGCATCACTCTAACGTCTGAGGTGGACAATAGGCTCTACAGGCTTGCTAATGGTGACCTTGATGACGAAGATGTTGGAGATGATGAGGATCACACTCCAGAGGATGAGAGAGTAGCTGGGGAGAATGAAAGGGAAGTGTCGTTTCCAAGATTAGCAGGAGTCAGCTTATCAGGGCGATGGACCAAACGTTTCCAATTATGATAAACTTTGAATAAAGTTATATATGGATATTTATGGGAGCCAGGAGAGGTCTACTTATAGGTCGAATGTTCAGCATTTAAACGTAAACCGCTTTCCTTGATATTTAGCATTTGGAATAACAAATTTAAGATTTCATAACTGAAGGCGTCATATCTCGGTGCGACTAAGATATTACCAGATTTTAAGGTCAAACAACATTTTCTAGAAAAGAAAATAGCGGCAAGCCATCTGAAACCTTATAGAATCATTGCTCTGAAGGATTCGTAGCCGTACGTAATGCGACATGACTTGGCTAACCTTTTAAAGAAAAAGGGAAGTATAGAAAAGAGAATCTGTTATTCTTCAAAAATTACAGTCGGACCTCGATTATCCGGACTATTGCCTCTGGTCCCAATTTTTTGCATGGATATTAATTAGTTGTGATCTTGAAAACTCAAAGTTGCAAAAAGCCCAATAATCCTTTCAAAAGACTGTTGAAACAGCGTATTATCCTGTGCGCTTTTCAAAATTGGAAAGTGCGACGAGACAAAGAAATATTCTGATGCGTTTAGCTGATATCTGATTGGCCCAATCGTTTTGTTGCCAAAGGAATTTCATGCTTGATTTAGTTTCTTCCACGTGGGTTATGTAAACTCAAATCAAAAACATGTCGACGACGCGAAAGTGAGCCGTTCTATCGATTAAAGATAAGCAGATAATTATTTCACGTTTGGATAAAAGAGGCAGCGCAATGTTTCAAAAAATGCTTGTCGTGGATGGAATCACGGAACGATATTGACCCTGGGCAGTTAATACAGCTAAGACGAATGATGGACTTCGCAATGCGATCAAGCTACAAGTCTTTGAAGCAAACAAACATGCTTGAACATTTTAGACCTTTGTAAATACCTGAACTGAAAGTTTTTATTTGTAAATACATACAGGCTGTGTAGATTTCACAATTAAAATTGTTTTCTTTGCTATACACCTTTTTTTTACATTTCTATCTCATTAATATTCATATTTTTGGTTATCCGGACTCTCGATTATCCGGACTATTTACCGAGGTCTCGACGAGTACGGATAATAGAGGTTCAACCGAGTAAATGAGGATCTTTCGCGATTTTTCAAAGGTTTAAGTATAGCTGCATTAGTTTAACACCGTTTTATGCGCAATCTCGTCGAACATGATCGCCAATCACATCTAGGAAAACAAGCTTTTCTGTCATTTATTTACTCGGGGTGTTATTAAATATTATTCTAGTTTAAATGTTTACCTCGATACCATGGTTTTTGTTTTAAGAGAAAGTTTAAAAAGTAATTTGAGATGATAGGGAAATATTTTTGAGCTGTTTTCTTGGCAGTTCTAAGTCAATTTTATCATTAAAAACTTGGCCATCTTTTCCCAGTCGGAACAATGTTATGCTGTACTAGAAAGACTTTTTAGTCCAACAGTTATTTACAAATTAAAAATGATAAGCAATGATTTGAAATATTAGTTCTTTGTTACTGTTAAATCACTTGAGTAACCTTGAGGAATCTGTATGAAAGAAATGCGGCCTCGCCTCTTCAGAGTTGCTTAAAAGATGTGGAATGAATGGACATTGGATTTAAAAGACGGGTCCTCTCAACAGGTATTCCTACAACAAAAATGTATCCCTTAATTTTTTATATCTCATAAATATCAACTGTCGTTGTCGAGATATGAATAGACAAACATGCATTCACAAACATGTCCTGCAATAGCGAAATCCGCCATTGAAGTCATTCCTAGAAAACGAAATGCGAAAATTAGGGGCAGACCAGAAACTAAAATCTAGAATCTTTTGTATTTTGTAATCCGGAATCTGCAGCGGTAGAATCCGGAATCCAGCACCTGGAATCCGGAATCCACAGCGTGGAATCCAGAATCTAATACAGTCCTGGATTACCTTACATGGGGCGATTATAACCATCCTTTTCTCTTTTAAAAGCTAGAAGCTCAGTAGATTCTGTCATATCGGTCATTGTTAAAACTGTCTTTGTTTCGATGCTACTTTTCGACATAGGAAAAGTATGTCGGACAAAAATACTCACCAAAAAATAAATATTTCTTTGTCAGCTTTGATCACAGGGGATTAAGTTTAGATGATAAAACAAAGGATTATGCCGACAGAAATACCGGAGGTCAAGTAAATTCGTTACACGAGGTCACTCGACTCGGGTAATATTCAGGGTGAAATTTGCATATTTGAGCGGTCGAACGTAAAAACTCACTTCTCCAATACTAACATATATTTTCACAAAAAACTACACCACAATTATTAGGAAAAATTGGGCTACAAAGTATGAAAGTAGAAGAGAAAACGAATTCTGGGCGACTTGCCAAAATATTTCAAATTTGTTCGATGGATGATGACATCCTTTCTTAAGTATGATGACGGTGAAACTTTTACAAGCCCCTTTTGTGAAGCCTAGGATGAAGATTATGCCGGCCATGTGCTTACCACAAAACGCTAACGCTCCCCCTTTGTTCAGCTGTATGTACAGCTGCAAATGAAACACCACACGGGCGCTTTTTTGTTTTATCTCGATAATGCTACTCTAGTGCTAATTACACCTGGACCCGTCTACATTATATGTCAGTGACATATAATGTAGACGGGTTTGGCTATTTCAGTTTACTGTGTTTGTATGGAAGTGCAGTATGACTCTTATATGGGATTTGCGTAATTTGTTGGGGATCAAAGACGAAACGAGTGTGAACCTCGAAATTTCGTCCAAAGCAACAACTCACTAACACGATAACACACCGATGCTCGCAAGTACGATAATTATTTTCATTTTGTCAAAATTTTTGAATATTAGACCTTTGCCATACAAATCCTTAGAAGCTTCGGACATTTTTAAACGGCATTAGGAAAACTCTCCGCATGCTTGGCCGCCATGATGTCCTACATTTCTGCGAAGCTAAGCTTCGCGCCAACAAGAAGGAACCTTTGGTCGTTGAAGTGGAATTGCTCCAGGAAAAACCTCACTACGCCTATGTGTGGTATCCTGACGGATAGGGAGACTTCAGTGGCCAGCAAGCACCTTACACCTCAGGGCCAAACCAATTTTTTACTACCTCTTGACATGCTCTAAAAGCAACGGATAACACGTAGGGAGGACAATACTGAAACACGCATGACTGTACCTGTTCGCCATTCTGAACGGGTCCGTCGTCCAGTGATCGGACTAGGTCTTTGAACCATCTGTGGCGCGACATAAACATAAAAGGCCTTACTACCCGCACCATTTCCATCTCTATCCCTCCTATAAACTATGTCACCGGCATTAGCGCAATCGTTACCGATGCCCATCGTGAGCGAAGTTTACGTTTACGTAATGCTAGTAAAAATTGACCAAGCAGATAAATGCAATCTGAGATAATTTGGTTTTATCAACCGTGTTGAAGATGTGAAATGGCCATAGTAAAGAGATTCTATAGTTGATATTTAGAGTGATAGCCCTTCGTCAGAGCGAATTGAATCATCATTATCAAGTCGCCTTTATGATCTTGAGCGGGATCATAAATGATTTCGAGAACTGATGAAAACCCGTTGCCAAAATGTGACAAAAAAAAAACAACAACAACAACGAGAGAGTTAATTTACTAAACAAATCTCTGAATTGAGGAGGCATCAATAAGGGGAAAAGTATTCAACGTCAAATAGCAATGCACAGTGTATAACTATTTTGCCTACATACTTACAGTTCACTATGATGCTGGCTGTAGCTGTAACAGGTGTCTCCACTCCATTACTAGCCATGCACTGATACTGGATTCTGCTGTTTGCTGTCCTAGGTCTGGTTACATTTACGACAGCGAGCAGCGAGGCATTAGATAGAAAGTCAAAACTGCCAACCTTAATCCATTTTATGCTGGGATTTGGTTTGCCAGACGCAGAACATGTTAAATTCAAGTTGCTCCCTTCGACGACGGTTTTTACTTTTGGTGAAACTATGACGTGTGGAGCATCTGATAAAAGAAAAACTTTCAGATCAATACCGGTAACATTACGATTTTATGTTAGAAAATATAACTATCATACTACTTATGACCGTATCAAGAGGCCTACATTTTCCTGTGAAATAGTAAAGCACTATGTTGGAAATTGCAATGCTATGCCAAAAGCATATAGAATTTGAGCACTGGTAACTCTGTGGTAACGAGCCAATTTTCGTGGCCTAACAAGATAATACTCTTAAATGCGTTGAAAAACATCTAATAAGATATGAAACATCTCACCATTTCCATTAGAATGAGCATACGTAATTTTGGCGAATGAGTGCTCAGTATTTTCTTAGCGAAGATTATGGCCGTCATCTTTGATAAGAATGGCAGCGGAAGCCTTGGGAGAGAAAGAAATTTGTATCAAGGGAGTGAACTTCCCCCGCTCCCTCCACAGCACCGCCTCTATCTACGAACCAACAACTAATTATTATAAAAGGACATCAAATCAAATAAAAGCAGTTATAATAAAGTTCGGATATAACGCACGCCATCAAAGGTTGAAAGAGCGTGCTCTATGAGAGTATACAGCATAGAGCATCGAATTGAACCAAAGCTGTCACGCCATCTGCCAAATTGTGCTATGTCCGACCTTTTCCGGGACTTTTCTTTAGCTGTATTTCGTTAATTGAAAGTGAGATTTCGGAACAAGCGAGCCGACAAGTAGCAACACAAGAACCAAACAAAGGTTTGTAAACATACCAGGCGCCGTAATTTACGTTATTATAACGTGAGCAGAGACGAAAGTCCTCAAGGAGTGAACGAAATGGACAGTCCGAGTTTTGAACGTTTTCACGCTCGGTTAGATTGCAAGCTTATGTACGGTAATAAAAATCAAATACAGCTAACACTCGTATAGTATCCAAGATTTCGTGTTCAAAAACAAAACAGAACAAACCAGAAATGATGAAAAATATGGCCAAATGGGCATAACTGTTAAAATTTATACTAGTCATGACGGTTTCAGAGCGACCACAATCATGTTAAGGTCCATCGCGGCTGGCTCGCTCATCATGGCGATCTCCGGTCATTGCAGTGAAGAAAGCCTCAGAAATTAAATCGGCCGCCCTTCGAATGAACAACAAATAGCTCGCTCTGATGTCCTTTCGGATGCCTTGAGTGGAAGGCCACATCAGTCACTGCAGCCGAGTTTTACAGTACTGTCATCCCGAGCAATCTTCATGTTCCGGTAAATTTCGGCTGTCGTTCATTCATGAAACGCTCGCCTTAAACAATTTGTTTTTCAATTGTCATGTGAAAAAAACATGGGAGGCACAATTCGACCGGATCTCACCGAACATTTCACTTTCAGACTCCGTATTAGAGACTAAAAAAAACTTCAGGAAAAACTGTTTGTTGTGATACTGCATAAATTAGCATGCATTTCTGAATCACGTGACCTACTATTATGTAGTTAGTCCTCGTGGTCTTTCGGTGAGCCACCCTAAAGTTGCTGAGTTGTGTTTACGCTCGGTGTCCTTACGTTAATCGTGACACGGTGTCAGGAGTAGGATTTAGACCAAATTGTCGAGGATTACTTCTTAGCTTCGAAGTATCCAATTCCAATCCTTCGTCCGTGATTGGTAGGCTCACTTAAGTCTATAGTTTGCGTTCAAAATATGTTTGGATCGTTGCACGTTGCATGAGAAGTATCATGGCTGCTGTCAGTACTACTGCAAAAACTTCTATGCCGCTGTGTTCCTGTCTTTCTTATTCAAATGTGAGCAGTTGTCAAATGAATCGCTCGATAGGTACGTCACTGCATTGATGAAGCTCTCACAATCGTGCGTCTTTGGCGCGCTGCGTGAATGACAGAGTTTGTGAAAAGCTTCGGAAAATGAAACCTTAACCTGGATATAGCGATCGCAACTATCAAGGGAAATGAAGTTGCTCACTCGCGAGCGAAACAGATCTCAGCAGAAGTGGCACACGCGTACTGGAAAGGTAATTGTGTCCAGCTTCAGGTTGGAATGGTAAGAAATGTGGCAAAGGCCATTTTGCAGTCGTGTCGAAGCAAGTCTGAAGATACAAAGGTCCACATACTCGAACAAGAAGTCTTTTATATCCATAGTATTAGTTGTAAAGATGAAGCTCTTGTTTCGCTCATTTCGAATGATTCAGCATCAGTGTCATTTAAAATTGACACTGGTTCCTCTGCACATATTCTGCCACTGCAGGATTACATCAAGGCAACGAAAGATTACACTAAAGCCAACATTGTTCCGAAGGAAATCACACTGGTTATGCACGATCCTTCGAAGCGAAAGGCTCTTGGTTCTGCAAGGTTGAAAGTAGGACAACCGTAACAAGCATGAACTTAACTGTTATTGTTGATCAAGGAGTTATACTTGTGCTTGGTTTGAAGTCATCTCAAGGCATGGGTCTTGTAAAAATTTTTGTGCCTTGTTTTGATACCCCTGTCAATAAAGTAGTCGCAGCTCCAAAGATAGAGTCCGTAGTTTCTGAGGATGTCACAAAGGATCCAGTACTTATTCTTATTTACTAATGTGCTTCAAGGCATTGGCTGTTTATAATTACCTGGGGAAAACAACATTCAGTTTAACATGGATGTTCTACGTGTAGTTCCCACGAAGAGTGCCTGCTCCCAAGAAGGAAGCAATGAAGACAGAGCTTAACAAAATGATTGCTGACGAGATAATTATTCCTGTTAGCAGTTCCCAAGAAAGCTGAATCAGTCTGCATTGTTTGGATCCCAAAAATTTGAACACTACCATTAAACGCCCTCACTACGCCTTACCGTCAGTTCAAGATGTCATCTCTCGTCTAACCAATGCCAAGGTTTCTTAGTGTTTTAGATTCTAAAAACGGCTCCTGGCAGGTGAATCTGTCTGAAAACCCCACTTACCTTACCCCATTTAACACCTCTTTTAGCCTTTTTCGTTGGCTGAGGATGCCATTCGGCATAAGTTCTGCGCCTGAGATATGACAGCGAAAGATGCATGAAGCAATTGAGGGTCTTCAAGGAGTTGAGGTGATCGGCGATGATTTCTTGGTTTGTGGATTTGTAGACACAGTAGATGAAGCAACGAAGGATCATGATCAGAATTTAACCGCCTTCATACAAAGATGGCGTGAGTTTAACCTGACACTTAATCTTCAGAAGATTAGGCTTCGCTTATCACAAGTATCATTCATGGGCCACTTACTCACAGCGGGTGGTGTTGTGACTGACCTAAACAAAGTTCGTGCCATACGTGACATACCTACTTCAACAGATGTGAAATCCTTAAAGATATTTCTTGGCATGGTTACTTACCTAGCGAAGTTCTTACCACACCTTTCCAGTGTCCGCAAAACGTTAAGGCGACTGAACCCTTAGGATGCTGAATGGTGTTAGCTGCCTGTTCATGATGAAGCTTTCCAAAGTATCAAGAATCTTGTTTGTAAAGCTCCTGTGTTGAAGTTTTATGATGTCAATAAAACTTCAACACGGGAAGTCACATTTGAAAGTGACACGTTTCTTAGTGGACTTGGCACCTCCTTACCTCAGGAGGGTCAGCCCGTTGCATTCGCTTCAAAAGTTCTAACTCCAGCGGAAAGTCGCTACGCTCGGATTGAGAAGGAACTTCTCTCCGTTATTTTTGCTTGTGAAAGGTTCGATACGTACCTGTATGGTCGAGATGTGGTACGTGTTAAAATAGATCATCATCCCCTTGAAGCTAACTTTAAGAAGGACCTTAGCTCTGCTCTCAAGAGTCTCCAGAGGATATTTTTGCGCTTGCAGCGTTACAACCTTGATGTAAAGTACCAAAAAAGGAAGCTTGATGGTTATATGTTATCCCCAGTCCCGAGCCTCGCGCACAGACCGAACACGATTAAAGGAATTTAAGGAAGGGACCGCCTCGGATGACAAACTTCAGATCCTTATTTCAACTGTCCTAGAAGGTTGGTCTAGTATTCTGGATAAAGTTCCAGCTGAGTTTAAATATTTCATTATTAAATATAATATCTGCAGTTGGCACAAGCTAGCACAGCCTCGAGAACCGCTGATACCCCATGGAATTTCTTCAAGGCCTTGGCAAAAGATCGTTGCTGATCTGTTCTTGCTTGACCAATGCCACTACCTGATTACTGTGGATTACTACTCTTCTTTCTCTGAGGTGGATAAGCTCGACACGACAGATTCTACAACTGTTATTGAGAAGTTGAAAATTAAATGCAGTTTAGCGGCCTTGGAATTCCGGAGATTTCTGACAATGGACCGCAATATGGTTCTGCAGAGTTTGCAAAGTTTGCATGTGACTGGCACTTTCAGCATTTTACTACCTCTCCACGCAATTCGCAAAGTAGAGTGCTCTGAAAATCTGTGAAAACATCATGAGAAAGGCAATGCATGGAAATTTTGACCCATATCTTGCCCTCCTCGGCTATCGTAACACGCCTACGGAAATTGGTTTATCCCAGCGCAAAGGCTGTTCAGCAGGAGAACACGCAATTCGTTACCCTTGTCAAGTAAAAAACTAGAGCCTAAGTGAGATCCCCCACAGGATGTGTAAGAAAAGCTGATTAACTCTCAGCAAAAACAGGCTTACTACTACATCCTGAAAGGTAAAGCACTACTTGAGTTGACAGATTGTCAATATGAAGAGGCCCGACGAGTCGTTAAATTCGAGTCTACCTGGACGGAAGCTGTTTGCAAGAAAACGTTTGGCCCACGTTCCTATGTGGTTGTGTCGGGTGGTCGAACCTCGAAATTACCGACAGCTGCAAATGGTGCCACTATCTGATTCTCCGCCTGTTGCGAAACAAGCATGTGAGCCTCTGCGATCAGTGCCGCAGTCAGATTTCCACATAGTTGCAAAAGCAGCAGCTGAGCCCCTGCAATCAGTGCTTCAAGCGGACCCTCACCTGTTGTGAAACCTGCTGCTGAACATGTAGGACTTGCGCCCCCTCCAACTGTTACAACGAGTGGTCCAATTGTCAAACGACCGGCACTTTTCCGAACGTTTGCCACTAACACTTAATGCTTTTTGGAAGCTCTATTTTTAAAAACTGTTACTGTTTTTGTTATTGTTTTTTTTTCGCTGAGGAACTCAGTAGCAGTTTGCAAGAACTCATTTCAGACACTTTCTATACAAAAGGAAAGACGTTGTGATACTGCATAAATTAACATGTACTTTTGTATCACGTGACCTATTGTTATGTGATCAGAACTCGTGGTCTTTAGGTGAGCCGCCATTAAAGTTGTTGAGTTGTGTTTACGCTCGTTATCCTTATGTTCATCGTAACAGTGTTAAATTAAATATTCGACCTGCTGCACCATTTCAGTTTGTAATCGCAGATTGTGAACTTTGACGGTTTTTAAACTTTGATGGTTTGACATTTTTGACAGCTGTTGTCTTGTACAGCCAATCAGATTATTTTAACCGTTCTAACAGGGATTCTGATTGGCTTATTGTAGCGTGCTTTATGAGAGTATAGCGCATCCTGACCACACTTTTTCTCTTTGGAAATAAAGTTTCTGTTGGGAATTGAAAGTAATGTGTGGGGAATTCAACGGATTCTTTATTATAAAACAAATGGAGAAGCCTTGATTGTGCTCTGCTCTATTGTAAGGCACTTAGGAAGCGGTTAAAGCCCTTAAGAAGTGGGAGGAAACACTCGACTACGTCTCTACACTTCTTTCGTGATCGATCGTGAGCTTTTTCACGTTATGTCACACTTGCAAGACGCTTGCACTACAGGCTGGGGGAAAATTAATTCCTCAACGAAAGTATCAGAAGACGATTTTAGCACTGTGCGTTACAAAGTAACAATGCTATGTCTCTCTTTACGCAGAGATGTATCGAAGTAAACTTACCAACAGCTGCGACAATGACACTAGCATTCTCTCCTACGCCAACTTTGTTGAAAGGAACACACGTGTAGGAACCATCAGACATCACTGAAACATGAAATATCCCTGAGCCGCTGGTCTTTATGAGGCGACCATTAAAATATAAATGAAATTTAGCTTCAGGACTACCATCCGTTTGGCAAGTTAAAGTAAGGAGACTTTGGCGAAGCACTGTGGTGTTCTTGGGAACTGAAATGAGTTTTGTGCCACCAGGAGCATCTAAAAAAAGGAATAAAATCACGAGACTGATACAGGAGCGTCTTTGTATTTCCTTCACGCGTTACTTTTCGCTAGATATTCGCTCTTCGCTAGATATTTACTGATGCCTTTTCTTGTTCTCTTTCGCTTTCCTCTCGCCTTATTCTGCCTATTTTGGCGTCTTTTCTAACTTTCTTACGCGTTTTTCTCGACTCGCTTTACGCGTTTTACTTCTTACTTTGTTTGGTCGCTCTGCCTCTTTCTTTCCAGCCTATCTTCATTCGAAAACCTCTCTCCACGAGCTTGAATCATAACAATTTCCTCAGATTGACGAAGGTTTAGCTCTGCCGCTATTGTTGCTTTGCAAGTTGATTAGAACTTGCAAATAATGAGAATTATTGTTCAACTACAACCTAACCAGTTTGATTTCGCGCTCAAAACGCGGTTTGCAAACTATTTGCTTACACGGTTTCACATCTACTGGCCCATGTGAAACCCTCGTGTAATTTCTAACCATGTGCCCGCGATTCACAGCACTAACGGTCGGCACTCGAATATGCGCACTTCATTGTCATCTGCCGGTGTCTCTTGGCGTACACTAACGGGATATCCAAGTAACGTACGCAATTGCGCCTGCGCATTACCTTCTCCCTCCCCCTTCCATTACGTAATGGCTAAGATAGTGCCTGCGAAACAGTTACGGCTGTAACTTCAATTTTTTTCGGCTTGATGGGTTAATACTATTTCGTATAATAATGGGGCTGCGCTGTGAGCTCCGTTATAAAAAAAACTGGACAAGCAGATAAAAGCAATCTAAGATAATATGGTTTCAGCGACTGACTTGATGATGTAACATAGCCACAGTAAACAGATTCTAATGTTGACATTTCGAGTTATAGCCCTTTGTGAGAGCGAATCGAAACATCATTATCAAGTCGTCTTCGTGATCATGAGCGGGATCATAAATTATTTCGAGAACTGATAAGAAACCTTTGCCAAATTGTAACAAAAAAACAATCAGACAGTTGATTAACTAAAAAAAACTCTGAACTGAGAAGACATCAAAAATGGGAAAAAGTATTCAACGTCAAATAGTAATGCACAGTGTATAACTATTTTACCTACATACTTACAGTTCACCATGATGTTGGCTGTAGCTATAGCAGGTGTCTCCACTCCATTACCAGCTATACACTGATACTGGATTCTGCTGTTTGCTGTCCTAGGTCTGGTTACATTCACAACAGTGAGCAGTGAGGCATTAGATAGAAAGTCAGAACTGCCAACCTTAATCCATTTTATGCTGGGGTTTGGTTTGCCAGACGCAGCACATGTCAAATTCAAGTTGCTCCCTTCGACGACGGTTATTACTTCTGGTGAAACTGTGACGTTTGGAGCATCTGATAAAAGATAAACTTCCCGATGAATACCGGTAACATTACGATTTCAAATGAGATATTATAATTATCATACTAATTATAACCATATCAAAAAGGACTATACTTTTCCATGAAATAGAAAAGCACTACATTGACAATTTTAATGCTATGAAAAACCAGAAGCACATCGAATTTGAGCACTCGTAACTCGGCAGTTATGAGACAATTTCTTATGGATTCACAAGACAGTACTATTAAATGCAATGGGAAAACATGTAATAAGATGTGAAACATCTAACCATTGCCATTAGAATGAACACCAAAAAGGCTGGATTAGTTCTCTCTACCAAGGCAAAAATTAGCCTGCAAAGCAGGCGTAAATTGGCAAGCGAAAGCTCGGTAATTTCATAGCGAAAATCATGGCCGCCACTTTTGATTTTAATGGCAGCGGAAAGCTGGGGAGAGAAAGAAATTTATACTAAGACGAGTGAAATTTCCCCACCCCTTCCCTCAACGCCACCTCTATCTCCAAATTAAACATGGCCGGTTGAATAAACGCTCGTAAACTTCTTAACGTTCACTCGCCCTAATAAGACGCCTACACTGCAGGCTAAGAAAATACTAATTCCTTAACAAAAGTATCAGCAGAGGATTTTAGCATCGTGCGTCACAAAATAACAATGCAGCGAAGTATCGATGTAAACTTACCAACGGCTGTGACAATGACACTAACAGTCTTTCCTACGCCAACTTTGTTCATAGGAACGCACGTGTAGGAACCATCAGACATCACTGAAACATGAAATATCCCTGAGCCGCTGGTCATGATGAGGTAACCATTAAAATACAAATGAAATTCAACTTCAGGGCTACCATCAGTTTGGCAAGTTAAACTAAGGAGACTTCTGCGAAGCACTGTGGTGTTACTGGGAACTGAAACGAGTTTTGTGCCACCAGGAGCATCTAAAAAAAGGAATAAAATCACGAGACTGATACAGTTTATTCTCAACTACTTCTATCGCTGTCAGTCCGACACCAATAGAATTCCTAAGACTTTTGTGTTTTCGTCCTGCAACGGAGAGAATAGCTGGTTTTCATATCGTTTTACAGGTCATGCAAGACTTCTGGGTCAAAAAAACACCTCCAAAGAGAAGTCTGGGAAATGGTCGCCATTGTATAAATTAGTCGATAGTGTGACAACGCGCCCACTAAGAAAGCTCTCTGTTTCGGATACTCAGAACGCGCGTTATACAGCAACTCCCTAAAAGTTACAGAGTTTAAACGATTAAATACTTACAGTGCACTGTCACTACTAGTGCTCTTCGTGTTCCATTACCATGAAAATTGACGGGAATGCAGCTGTAGTTCACCATCTTTACTCTTTCAGCAACTGAAGCTGTAATCACTGCATCGTTGTCTGCACCATTGATATACTCATTACCTTTGTATAACTGATATTTTGCAGGTGGGTTTGCCTGTGCACTGCAGGTGATACTGAACGTTTCATTCACAAGAACGGTGTTGTTAGTCAGATTGGTTGTCACAATGGTGTTTACTGGGTGGTAGTCTACAATGAATTTAAAAGAACAACACTTCTCTGGTTGAGCCAATGTAAGTTTTATACCCTTGCAGATCACTGTCTACATAAAAAATACACATCTCAATTTTTTACGTTTAATCTGGCATATTAGTGCACTATAATATATCTTACCTTAATTTGTAAATTCTGACAAAGAACAAAATTTTGTGAAAAGTATATTTCGACTACTAAAGTTGCAGGTGCTAGTTTGGCGCCGGGTAAAAAATATATTTAGTGGAGGTATCGTTGCACCACTCGAAAAATGTAGTAATTATATTATTCAGATGTATTTTTTTCTTTGTTTTCTGGAAGATGGATATTACGCTATATAATGAAATGATTAGGTAAAATTGCCAGGTGAGAGGTTTGTAACTCTGTGTAAACTCAGGCAATAAGGAAAAAAGGCAAACAGTTCAAAATTATCTCACTCTGCACAAAAACATAGACAATCCTGCTATCAGGGCTTCCAACACCATTACTGGCAGTGCACTTGTAGCCTCCTTCATCTTGTTTACCACCTAGTTATAAAACAGTGTGAACGATTTCTACAGTAACCATTCCTCGCACAACTCGCACTGTACCATGTTGTCCCATCACTCAGGCATTGAACAATAACAAAATAAATTAGTGTCACAAGTTTGTCCCTTATTGAATCTAGCGGTGTTTGACTATCGCGGAAAAGGTTAAAAAACGACCTCTCTCCTGACATTAAACTAAATTCTTGCCCATTTTCCCTTGGCCAAAAGAAACATCCAACGGAATGCCAGTTCGTATGCATTAACGATACGCATGTTTTGAATTAAAAACATACTTTAGTGTGCACTGGAACGTAAAGTATCATCCATTTTTACTAGAATGTTAAGGATTATGTTTTCACTCAGTTTTGTTGGGGGATCCAAATCCGCGGAGGGGGTCCAAATCCGCTGGGACACCAGTTAGAATAGAACGAAATTTTGCGAAACTTGAAAAGGCTGAGGGAACAAGTTTAGTGAACTTGCTTTCACATTTATTACCAATCTCCGACGAGACAGCAAAGCTGGGCATTGAAATCGCTAGGCTTGTGTCCATCCAATTAGTTTGCTCTCAAAGGTCGGGGCTTTAAGTACCGCTCTCGCCAAGAGCGGTCCTCTCGACTTCCCGTCGGAAAAAAGCTTTCTTTTATTTTTCGCTCATGAAAGGGTTTAGGACAGATGTTTCAAAAATAGTTTAGCTGTTCTCCAATTCTCTTTTTTTGCGTCGCCACAAGCCAAAAATGATTTTTGGCAAGACCACCTCTGTGGACAGCGATCGAAAGTGTAAATTTCAAAGATTTTGTCCAGCGCGCAGCGACTGCAACAATGTAGCTCACGGAATTCTATCTTGCTATAAGTTACAAGATGTATCAGTTAGTTCACAGACAAAAATATAGAAAATTCAGCTGAAATATTTTTCATACCAGCGTGATCGGAGGAGACCCTTGTCTTCGACCTTAATTTGCATATCAAAAATTCACTACATTGTACGAAAGAATTCTCAAAATGCAGGCGTTAATCGGGCTGAAAAGCATATCAGGGCATAGTTTATACACCAGTGAGGTCACGGATTGCCTCAAACCCGCGGGCATATTTCAAGCTTCCATCCACCAACTTCTTATAAACAACGCAAATCGGATCATGTGTACTATAGGTGGACTCGGTCGACATATCGGGCGACAGTCGACCGATATATCGGTCGACTATCGGTCGATAGTCGGTCGACTATCGGTCGATGCTCGACCGACTATCGGACGATAGTCGACCGATAGTCGACCGATAGTCGACCGCTAGTCGACCGATATATCGGTCGACTGTCGCCCGATGCATCGACCGATATGTAGCGATCAACTGCCGGTCAAGTATCGGTCAAGTAGCGGTCAAGTATCGGTCAAGTATCGGTCAAGTATCGGTCAAGTATCGGTCAAGTATCGGTCAAGTATCGGTCAAGTATTGGTCAAGTATCGGTCAAGTATCGGTCAAGTATCGGTCAAGTATCGGTCAAGTATCGGTCAAGTATCGGTCAAGTAGCGGTCAAGTATCGGTCAAGTATCGGTCAAGTATCGGTCAAGTAACGGTCAAGCAGCGGTCAAGTAGCGGTCAACGCTCAGAAGAAAATAGGCTAAGAAAGAGTGTGAGGTTTTTTCGATATATGTTCCCATTTGGTAATGGAAAAATACATTGTAAAGTTGGTCGCTCTTGTGTAACTAATGTTGTGCCTTAACGTATTTCCATTATTCCTAAAACTACCCGGCTTATGCTTTATCCCTGATGTCATGCTGCCCTTAATCCAACATACCTAAAATAATTATTATTCCTTAGCTCTTATAGCTCTAACAGGGCCTCAACGTTATATTCCTTGTTCAACGTTACCGATATTAACTGTCCAGTTTATGTCGGTAATGGGATCCACCTAAATTGTATCAGCTAAAATTGCAGTGTGTAACTGCCCAGCTAAACGAAAAAAGTAAATGATATTTTGAAACTGAACTAGGCGGTTAAACTCATAAGCAAAGCGATTTTATAAAGACTTCTTTTTGCAGTGCAAGGTCAGCCGTTGTTTGTTTTTTTTTTTATTATTCTTGTTATTTTACCTAGAATAGGGCGTCTTTTTGGGGGTTTGGGCCTTAACAACGGTATCAATTTTTTTCATCCTTAAATAGGGAACTCCGCGGCACCCACCTGTCGGAAATACAGAACTTATCCGCTTATAAGAACCTAGAATTCACGAACCTGTTAGACTAAAAATATCAATTTAGACCCCCTTTACAAAAGAACCTATTTAGCCTAAATTTGAAACAGGTTCCTGTTTTAGAAAATGAACCTTAAAGATCTTCAGGCAAACATAAAAGACATGACTCTCCAAAGTAATGAACTTAAACATGTATGAACTATAAAAATCTCTAAATTTGGTATAAATAATGTATGAAAAACGGTAGTATGTACATGTTGGTTTTGAATTAGAATTCACATGAGTACACCCTACGAGTAGATTTAGAACTGAGAACTCAGATTCTTATAAGCGGGTAAATACTGTAATTTGACTTACTAAAACGAAATCAAGTCTGCAATGAATATCTGATTGTCTTTGCCTCCAGATAAACCTCTTGCCATTTGGATTAAAAATTCTCCAAACATCGCATAGCTCCAAATTTTCCATCGCATTTTGCACTACCTTTAAAGCGTTCTGAGGTATTCTGGCGATGCCATTTTTTCAGAAAAAATTGAGAGAGTAAAAAACATCCTAAGCAGCTGGTCTGCTAGTAGACTTACTCTTCTATGTAAAATCACGATCATAAAAGCTTTGGCAATATCCCAAATTGTACATCTCTTCCGATGCATCAGGGTGCAATTAAGGAAATCAATACCCTGCTATGACTTTCTCTGGGATAGCAAAGGGGACAAAATTAAAAGGACACAAATGAT